GGCAACAGTGCTGAAATACATAAAATAAATGATGTATCAATAAAAACCGAAAAGAAAAAGTGTTTGAATATAAAGTAAATGGGTGATTTTCAAGTAATAAGCAATGCAAGAGTGACATGTTGGATTCATTTTTTAGATATTTTATGAAAAATATTTTTTATGTAAAAATTTTCATTTTATGAGGAATACTTCAATATGTCAGCTTAAGAACAGAAATCCCAGCGAGAAAAGTATATTTCAGATGAACTAATTTAGGTTAACTACTTTTTGGAGGTTTCTGTGGATTACTTATCAGCAATCAGTATTTTATCTTTAGAAGAGGGCTGTCTGAAGATTTCAGATGCCAGACAAAAACTCAAGACACTTTTTATCAGATGTGAGGTTGCAAAGACTAGCAGCTCAGAGTTTCTTCAAGATAACGTTACAAATAGTGTTCATTTAATCAGTAATAGTTACATGTTGGAAATTATTTGGTTCAAATTATGCTTTTATTAGAACTAAATTAGCAAAAGGGCAACATTTTTGTAAATGGGTTCATGACAGTTCATTATTTCCTCAGTCTGTCATCAAACCCTTCAAAATAAAAGCATGACCCATTCATTTAAATCAAGTGTTTTCAACCAGGAAGACATCTCAAGGAGGTAGAAAACCAGCAGCTCTGAAGGACTGGTTACAACATGTTCTCACAGATTTTGTTTTGGGTAATGACTTTGATTTGCTCACCTATTTTAACACATTTAACATGAATTCAAAATAACAGGCAAATTCACAAGTTCTTAGCTCTACTCTCTAATTTCTTCTTTTACAAACTCAAGTAGTTCAGACAGTCTGCAACAAGTACGACTGGCTGATTATAAATACCAAACAGAATCCCCTTTAAAATATCAGAACCTTCTCCTTGCAGTACGTTTCGGCTGATCTGATGATAATTAACAGTGGTAGTAATGTGCATCTATAGTGACCCCTTGGTATTTGGAGGCACACATAGCTGAAGGAGCATTTAGTCTGCCATGGAGGGCAACAAAGAGACTTAACGACCAGATCAACATGTTGTGAGTGTTTCTGCTCACACTTATAGCTGATCAACATGTAACCTTAAACCAGACGAGGTTGGTAATGAAACTGTGAACAACAAGAAAATGCTGTAATTAAACGGTATAGCTTGCTGATTTACTACAAAAAACAAATCAAATACTTAAATACGGTATTTGCCCTATAATGCCTTGTAATAACCCTAAAATATCCAAAAATGTCATATTTTCAGCTTTGACTAGAATACAAACATGCATTTTTTAACTCAGAGTTTTGCTCTTAAGTTGACTTAATAATGAAGAAGCAACCATTTTTTCCTGTAATTATCAGCCTAATTTTATAGCTATATATTTTTCTATTCTTGTGTCTTCTAACTTCACCAATATAAGATCTAAAAATGATCAATGCACCTGCAGGAAACATGCAGGTTTAAAGTTCATGTCTTGGGATTTCCGCCAGCACTGAACACACCGTTAAAAAAGTTGTATTTTATTTATTGTGGACATGAAAATAAACAGAAACAAAACATGTTACTCGGAAAAAGCAGCAAACCTCTTAGTGAAGAGGTTTCATTGAATCATTTCATTGAAAACTAATGAGTGTTTTATGCCCAACTAATAAAATCCTCTGTGCTTAACTGAAGCTTAAATACAGTGGCTTGCAAAAATATTCAAACTTATTAAACTTTTAAGACATTTTGTTATATTACAACCAGAAACGGTAATGTATTTTACTGGACTTTTTATGCAGTAGACCAACAGGAGGTGGTGCACATGTATAAACTGGACGGATGCATGTTTTGAAACATATTTGAAATACAAATCTGTATTTAAACGCTAATCATCTGATGTAAGCAACTGCCTTGAAAAGCCACCTAAATCAACAAATTAAACCAACAAATACTGGAGGAATATAGTTGTGGAGAAGTGTAAAGCCGTAAAGTTATAAAACAACACCTTTAAACAACTTTAAACTTCTCACAGAGATCAGTTCAGTTCATAATCTGTAAATAGAGTATGGCACAATTTCAAATCTACCAAATGGACCGCCATGCAGGACGAGGGAAGCAGGAGCTGCACAGATCCAGAGAGAGATGTAGCAAAAGTACAAAACTGAAGTTCAGAGAAGCTCTCCCTTGAGAAGTTCTCTGTTGAACTAAATGGTAAAGAAAACGTGCAAAGCTGGCAAAAAACATACTTTAAAAGCCTGCGGCAGTAATCGCAGTAAAAAGTGATTCTTCATCTTCTAATCTCTTCACTGTGTTGGTCAAAAACCTGAAGTCCAAATAAAACACACTGAAACTTGACAAAGTATGAATAAGTTTAAAAGGTTATGAATAGTTTGGCAAGGCAATGCATGTTCAGAACCAAATATGATCCTTTAAAGCAAAAAACTCTATAACACCCAACCTTTTTCACCTTGAAGTAGTAAAAAAAGAACCCATAAGCAATAAAACACACTATCAGTTCAGTACAATCGTGTCGTGTTATTGTCGCACAATTGGGTCAAGTACATGGTAACATTGAGGTTCAGCGAATGTATTTCAGCACGTTGCGGCTAATTTGCTGCCAAGAATTAAGTGTCACACATAAATTTTACAGTGTAAGAATCAGAGAAAAAAAAATACATGATGTAGTAAAAATAAGAAAAAGAATAACAATCCCCTCCTCATCCCACCAAAAAAATAAAAATAAAAAAATACAGGTTTTCATAAGGTACTACACTCTAAAAGGCAAGTATTTCATCAAGTTGTTGTAAACTATTGGCTGCACTTTAATTCCCAGGAGATCAGAATCTCGTTTCAGTTTTTTTTTTTAGTTTTTTTTTATCAGATACAGTTATTTTTATGAAATGATATTGATACTTTATCTGTACACCTCTGCTGGAGTGTAACATCCTCTTGTTACTTGTGTGTATTTGTTGGTTTGTTGGCATTTAGCCCTGAAACTTGTTGATTTGCATTGGTACACATGCGTGTGGTTGCGTGTGTGTGCATGTGTGTGTTTTTTTTGCGTACATAGTATCACTTCTGAGGGAGTGAAGGATAACTTCGCAGGAGGATCTTCTGTGTTTTTGTGTCGCTGAGGTAGAATGAGAGATCAAGAAGCTGAGGCTGACTCAGGTTTTTACATGAGGTCTTTGAGTCAAGGCATACTGGTAATGTCAAATACAGATCAGAATCGCACAACAAACACAGCACCACAATTATTACTGAGTAGATATCATGTTCCTGAATAGATATGTACCTGAGGTTTTCATACATGACGTAAGAGCACTGTTAAAAAAAGTGAAATCCTGAGAGTGGTAAAAATGACACCTCAACACTGCGGTTGACTCAAGTATTTATGAAGGTTTTGTTTTAGTTATTTCTATTTTCTTCCAAAATGAAATATCCATTTCAACCTTTGGGTTTAAATCAGTCACTTTCTGCTTGGAAGGATTTACTCAGCTGAGGTTAGGAAATAATCTCTGAAAATGGATATTTCAATCTGAAATCACACCAGCTTTCACAAAAATGAATTCAGCTTGCCATGATTATGTTGTCACATTAATTTAAAAATATCAAGTTTAAAACAGCTGACAGAAAATGTGCTGAAACCCGGTTCAGTTTGGTTCCTTTTGTCCTTTGTTAAAAATTCTGCCTCTTTCTTTTTGTCTTTCTCTCCATACAAGCACAAAACATACAGACATGCAAAAAATCTCACTGAGAGGCTCAGGACAGCTGGCAAAATAAAGGAATAGTTCCACTTTAAGGGAGAAGCATTCTTCCAGGTCTTAAGAAATGCAAGAGAAAAGATTAAATTAGATGGGTTTAAAAATTTGCAATCCAGAGGATTACATTTTTTAGATTCTCTTTTACATATAAGACATAAAAGTTAAATTGGGTGCATTTAAGTAATTAACCAGTAATTATTTCATACCTTTGAGCTGATAGCTTGATGTAGAGCTAGAAGGCACAGGAGGAACTTAAACATTTATTAGAAATTTTACATAGAACTCATATTCAGAGATCCACATGTCTGACTTTTCCTGATACCATTAATTCAGTTTTCTTTGATTTTTGATTGCATTTTTATTTTACTAAAATAATACAAAAAATAAAAGAAATAGAAAAGTGTAGCAGTTTTTTTAACAGGCTGCAGCTTTGAACCCAACAAAGAATGAGGGAATCATACAAACCTAAAGGACTGAATAGTAAATAAAATAAATCTCATGAGGCCTTCTGATCTGATCAGAGCCAAGGAAAATTGGCTGATTCTGATCTCTGATTGATTAATTACTGCATCTCTAGTTATATACACACTGCCCTCCATGTTTATAAATAACTAAACTCTATGTTTTATTGCAGAAGCATAGTCTCATAACCTCAAACAATTTAGAAAAATACAACTTTTAATTGGACTATATTTATTTAGTCTGGAAAAAAAATATATCTTATGGTAGAAAATAATTGGTTTTAATAAAATAACCCTCAGGAAGTCCTAAATATGCAATAGAATTTTATTGAATTAAGGTACGTTGATAATTGTAAATAGACGTAGAAGCAAGAAAATAGCTGAAATACTTAGTTCCAAAATAAAATTTTTGATGTTTTAAAGCACTGGAGTTGTGACAAATAAAACTGGACACTAAGCCAAGTGTATCTCGTCACCACACAGTGAGGAGGGTTGAAAGGGTTTTTTACTTTAATGCTTTGCTGTTGAATTTCTTTTCCCAATAAGTATGGAGGGGGCTGTATGTTGGAGAACCTGTGCTATATCACTTTGCTGTATTTTAAAAGGCACATTCATGCTGTCACAAGACAGGAAGCATATGTTTTTATTTTATTTTTTTGCCTCTTGACTCTCTCTCTCTCTCGACACATATATATATATATATATATATATATATATATATATATATATATATTATATATATATATATATATATATATATATATATTATATATATAATACAAATTTTCTTAATATTCAGCAACTCTGCAGATACTTTTCCCAAAAGCTGGAACCATGCCTTTACAAAGGCTCAAACGATCAGATACTCAAAGCAACAACAAATCCATGGTGCTGTTTAGATCAGGAGAGGAAACTGCTGTCTGCGAGGATTTTCTTTTTTGGGTGTGAGTGTGTGTAAGTGTGTGTGTTCCTGATTTCCCATCACAGATAGGGAGTCAGATTGTACCCCTGTTTGCTTGAGGCCAAACACCGAGGTAGGTAGAGAGGGATCCCATCTACTCCGATTCCTCATGAGCAGGCACCTGAGATGAATAGGGGCCCTCCTCGGCCTCCTCCGAAGGGCCCTGGAACATCCGAGGAGCAAAGAAAATGGAGAAAGATCAGTTATTATCTGAGCAGTGACTCACACAGCTGAAAAGGTACTGAATCAACGCTAGAAAGAGCACGAGAGTACAAGAATGAGTGGCAAAAACTTCACGGGGCAATTGCGTGCGAGAGAGCGAGGCTCCAGCCGTCAGACCTAGAAATGTGAGGAAGACGACGGTTACATCAGGAAACCAAGAAGACAGGGGAAGAGAGCAGTTAGATCAGGTTTCCCCTCGCAACACTGACTCATTCTTCCCCTTGGTGTGCGTGCCTCTGAGAAAGGAGTCTGTCTCAATGGTTTCAGTTCTTTTAGGCGCCCTAACCTCTTTGACAAACTGCTCAGCGCAGAGGATGCGATAAGGCGAGGCGAGGGGCATCGCCTTGGTAAGCGCTGTTGTGCAACGCTCTCGACAAGATGGCTAAAACAGCCTGAGGTTTCTGAGAAACGCTCCAAAGGTGGATGAAACCAAAGGATCTTTATGCCACGTGGGGAATTCGGCACCAGAGTCTGTGAATTTCCAAGAATTCGCCACATCAACATGAAGTCAGTTCAGAAAACCCCCCCCAAAAAAACAAAAAAACAATGAAGCTTGTGCAGAGAAAACTTACTGAAAGTTGTGCCGGTGTACAAAAAACGAACAACACTTTCAACATTTTGAATATTAGGGGTGATTAATTTTACCTTTTGAAACTGTCACAGGTCTGGGGAATGGAAAGTTTAAAAAATTCATATAATTCTGTTTTTTTTTGTTTGTTTTTTTAACTTAAAACAAGTTTTTAAAACTTTTTTTACATTAATAATGTTCTGCTTCATGTTTAGATACTCAGACATTTACTAATTTAGTTGTTTTTTACTTTTTTGCTAAGCTTAAAAAAACTAAATTAAAGATATCACAAACATCCAAGATTAAAGATAGAAATGTGAAATGAAGAGTAGGACCAATTTTTGTTGAACTTTTTTTTCTTATCTTTGTACATCAGTTCAGGTAAAAACAACATGTGACAAACGATTAATTAGCAAGCAACTTTCAAAACTTGCATTGCTAAAATAAGGTTATGTCTGGTTTTATTAGTACTGATGCAGACCATACAGCATGCCACTAACAAAGACATAAGCTCTGGAAAAACCTCTTAAAATTACCAGTTTCTCTGATTTTACTCCTCATAGATAAATGTTTGAATAAAATAAACACTGTTCTTTTATTCTATGTGAACTACTGAAACTCCAAGCAAAAATTTTGATTTTCTTTGCAGAAAATGAAAAATGGTCAAAACAAGAAAGAAGCTGAAGTGCTTTCAGATCTCAAATAATGCAAAGAAAACAAGTTCATATTCATTTAGGAACAACAAAACTAATGTTTTAGTTCAGAAATCAATATTTGGTGAAATAACCAGCCCAATGGTGTTCAGTGCAGTGGGCTCTTGGTTTTTTCTAAAGCTGTATTTATAAAATCTAAAATAGATGAGAGGATGTCTCAATAAATGTCAACATTCTTTTATTTATTTTTTTTGTCATTTATATTCATGAACTGCTTTCTTCTGGCTTTCAGTAGGAAGATCATTGGACTTATCTGGTCACCTTTGGAAAACTTCCTTGTATCCCTGCCCAAAATGATCAGTAAAACCAGAAAGTCAATGAAATATATATATATATTTTTTGTGATAAAATAAACCAAACACACAGCATAAAACATGAGTGAAGATGTATTAGAGGGTGATACCATGGAGCAGATGGCAGGAGATTAACAAAAATCCCACAGGAGAGATGATCTGCCTCTTCATCCACCTCTGCTTAGAAGCAGTTTCAGAGGGAAGTGAGACTATTAACTATTAACAAGTAAACTGTTAACTAACATGTGAGTCTGGTTAACAGGTGACTTTTTCACACTTTAATCATTGTAATGCAACAACCTGAGGCTCCTGGTGGCTTAATGGATAAAAAGCCCAGGCGCATTTTTCCAGTCTTATCAGGATTTAAGGGAGATGTTTCTGGATCGGCACGACGTTTCCAGTCATTTTACAAAGTTATACTTGTTAATGTCATTCAATTGAACCCCTGAATATTGAGGGATGATAGCAGCATTTAAAAAAAAAAGGTTTTTAAATTAGTGGTAGACATTAGACCTAAATCTCAGCTTAACAACTGACATTTAACCGCGCTCTTATTTTGCTGTATTTGAGCCATTCGTGAACCGGTTACCTTTATTGAGGCATATCAAGCTCCTGTTTCAAAACTATTAGTATCTCTGTTCAGATACAAGTATGTAAACTACTAAACAGAATCTCCTGTTTTGCTGTTTCAAAACAGGAGATTCTGTTTTATGTCATTTTCATGACATAAAACACAAAATGTAAAAGTGTAAAAGTAAAGTTTTCTTTATTCTGCCATGCAGAATTGTGATGTCTTGTGTCAGGATTTTTTAAATCCTGACACAAAATATTGCCCCTCTCCCACCTGTTGCTAGCTACTACACTTTTTTTCTCACTCAAAGGAAAAACAAATACAGCCATAAAACACAATGTGGAAACTAAAAGCACCCACCACACTTGTGAAGGTAAAGGTGTTTTAAAACTATAGTTGGCCCAGGCTCTCTGAGAGCAGACAGACTGACTGATCAACCAGCTAATCTCAGCTTATAAAGCAGAGCGGCAAATACAAAATCTGCAGAATAAGCACTTAAAAAACACAACATGCGACATGTTTGTCTTTTTATCAAAATCAAATGAAAATAAAAAGTTTATAATTGCAGTAATAATGTCTTAACTCAGATCATGCAGGCGATTTCCAAAAATGTCAGCATGAGATTTCCCCCAAAAGGTGATTTTTAAAACCTCTGTAATTCTTAAATGATTAAATCAATGAGCAATTAAATGACTCAAAGTATCACATTTAAAAAAAAGGAAAGCTAATATTCAAATTGTGAAGACAGGTTTGTGTTCTAGTCTCAGCAATCATATCATGACTACTCATGTTTCTGTATTAGTATGATGTTTAAAGTGAAATGATATGAATCAGGTGGACCAAACGACACCCTACTTTCATAACTTATCATTTGACTCTATCTCTACCGTGCATCTTATGCACTTGATCTATTATGCTTCTTATGCATTTAATACTTCTATATGCAATACTTTTTAAGTATTTTTATGTTGCTTTTTTTTAAAAAACAAACAAATAATTGTAGCCAGATATTTGCATAAACTGTTTATACAAAGCCTTTTTTTGTGGCCATCACAAAATGTGTTTGTAAGTGAACAAGTCTGACCCAGTCCCATCAGGTCAGTCAGGTTAATGGGAAGGAAAAGCCGATGGTAACAACCACAAAATGTAAAATTCTCTTTAGAAATGTCTAGCATTTTTCTGGCATTTAGAGAACAAAAATAATTTTGCAAATCCTGACATAAAGAGGAAAAACTTTTTGACTGATTTAATGCCAAACAGTAAGAAAAAAAAAGTTGTGTCTTAACCCTCTCCAGGCAGGGGTTGCAGATTTGCAACAACTTAAACAGTCTTTTCAAGTAATTTGAGCCTGAGAGGGTTAATAAGCTGTGTCTAAATATCTGTTTCCAACTGAGTGTTTTTCCTCCAGAGATGCTGCAATTACACTAAACATCTAAGGAGTAGTTTGATCACTAACTACCTCTGACATGTATTTACTGTAACAGCTTGTAGATCAGATTGTACCTTTACAGAGCACTGCTGTGGATTCGCAGAACATAGTGACTCTGCAGCTGAATGTAGGTTTAAATGTGATCAAAGCTCAACACAAGAAGACTTGCAAAATGGCACCAGTCAGAAGGCAAACGTGTGACACAGAATGAAATTTCTGTATAACTCAAGCAGCACTCTCAAAAACTCGCTCCACCTATAGTTTGATCTGATTGTAGATGTAAGTGAGACTATAAAAGAGTGGCAACAAAAAAATGCTGAAATGTAACTTGGTGCAGCTGCAGTCAAAGACAAGTTTACATATGGGTACATATGGGTAGAGGCCTAAGTAATTAAGAGCAAGAGCCGCAAAGATATTGAAAATTTTATATGTTAGTGGGGGAGAGAGGTTATTATTTTCTTATTTTTGCCAAACAACGAAGCTTTATGCCTTAAAGAGCTGCATTAAAATAAAACTAGACCACCCTGCTATATCTTTTCATTTTCCTCACCTGCTGCTCTTCAGTCACTTCTGGAACAACTTTCCGGGGCTGTAAAACAAAACATAAAACACAAGACAGTAGAAGCCATTAAAGACTGATGGAAAACGAGAGTTTCATACTGAACAGCTCCAGCACACACACATGCACACACACAAACGTTTTAGACACAAAATGCATTGCAAAAGCATCCATACCCCTTGGACTTTCAAACACAAACTTTGATTTTATTTAGTTTTATTTTATCCGACGATTTTTTTTTTTGAAGCAGTGCAGTGAACATTCATGTTTACTGATACATTTAGACACAATCCAGTGCAACAAGAGGTATTTAAAAGTCCTATAGTTATTAAGAAAAAGGAGGGAATACTACAAAGAGCCATTATTCATTTGGGAAATCAACACAAATCTAGCTTTTATGGAAGAGCGGCAAGAAGAAAGTCACTGTAGAAAACACTGCGTCGCATGAAACTAGTAAAGCTCACCCTCATGGCAAAATATGGTTGTGGCAGAATTGTGATGTCTGGATAATTCTCATTAACAAGGACAGAGAAAAGTTGGTTTGGGCCAAATTTAGGTCTGTCCTAAAATAAAATCTGTTGGATCCTATGAGCCCTCATATATTAGGACAACTAGATCAATACATATTAAAGTGTTAAAATATCCCAATCAAATGTCCAATAAAACTCAGATGACAGATTCTCTTTAACCACACTGGGCTGTAAGGATGAATGTTAATTGTCTATATGTGAAAAGCTGGTGAAGACATTCCTTTCAACCACTTACAGCTGGAGCTGCAGCAGAAGGTGGCTCGACAAAGTATTGACTCAGAGGATGTAAACAAAAGGATTCCACACTTTTTAGATATTTATTATTAAAACATTTAGAAGACCATGTATAATTTCTTTCCATTTCACAATTCCAAAACACTTTATGTTGGTCCATTGCATAAAATCCCAGTAAAATACAAAAAAAAGTGGTGCAGTTGGCAGAGATTGTGCACCATCTGCAGAGGCCACCGTCCGTGACGTGGTCGTCCTGCGTTCGATTCATGATTCGGGACATTTACTGCATGTCTTCCCTCTCTCTCTCGCCACCCTGTTTTCTGCCAGTTTACAGTTCAATAAAGGCTAGTAGTGCTAAAAGTGTGTGCTTGGATCTTTAAAAGTGTGAAAAAGTTCAAAGGGTCTGAATACTGTTGCAAAAACCTGCACATTTTCAGTCCATCCGTATGGGCCAGTGAGAACGCCATACCCATTTTCTCGGTCGCCCTCGTGGTCGCCTCTGTCCAACAGGCTCTACTTTCTGAGGAGAAACCAAATCAGTGGTGGAAAAAGTTTAGATTACATGCTACTATATTCACATTTCTCTCAAGAGGTTTTATGCTGAGCTAACTTTTGGAATATGCAATGTCCTTCTGCTCCTGAATGTAAAGAGCTGCATTGATACTGAGCAAAAATAATTTGTCAAATCCCTCCTCAGTATGTCGACATCTAGCGTACCTGCACAGATTTCAAGTATTGAAGATGCACTTACCTTTATCTAAACAACTGCACAGATAAAAAGATTGCATCTAATCAAACAGTAAAACTTTCGTGAACTCATGTTAATGTTTTTTCTAACTGAACTTTCCACAGAAAGACGGATTTATGTGATTGGTGTGTATAATTGCATCAGTAAATACCTCAATTCGCTGTGTTTTAACAAGTTTCAGAAGCTAAATTGACTGACAATAATTCACTGGAGGTTTAATAAATGCAACTCAGCAAAACTCATCCATGAAACAGAATAAAACAACAACTTGTTTTAAGCTTCAGTTCTATCTTTTAACACGGTTCAAACAGAGAGATGTGACAGGAAGGTTGCAAACAGAAGCTCAGCATTTACATTTGTTTATATAACAGCTTCCACAAGTGTTCAAAGTAAACTATAATTTGATCTATTAGCATTTATCAGCAATGCAATTAATATCTAGATATATATACCAGATAATAATTAGGTGTGAGACTTGTTTTTCTGAAAATAATTGTTTTGATAATTGGGTTATTTATATCAGGATTTCAGAAGAGTCCAGGACCAGTTCTTGTTAAAGTCAACAGTGGGATCACATTGAACAAGTAACACTGTCCTGACACAGCAATACATTTTTTTTTTATCTTGCTATTAACTGAATAGTAGGATTTTGTTGCGCTTTGGCCAAATTTCTCAGAACATTTCTCATTTATCTATGGAGTCCCCCAAGGTTCAATACTGGGTTCTGTCCTTTTAACTAATATGTTCCCTTACGCAGAAGCTTTAAAAAAAAAAGTGAAGAGATGATACACAATTATATTTGTCTCTATCTGTGGATGTTTCTTGGATAACTTTGGTCTTTGGTTAGTTGCATTGATAAAATAAGCATTTTTAATCTTTTCTTATTAACATTATTAATAGATGCAAAAGACACTTACAATAATATTTATGGAGTTTCTGTCTTAAAAACAAAGAGTTCTGAAACCTTAAACACTTCTGACACAGATACCATGTTGTTACATGTGAAAGTTTCAGAGCATGTTTTTTGTAATAATTATTGTGAAAAGTATTTTATGCAATTATGTCATCTCTCTTTGCATGTATGGTGTACATGAATCTGAATCTTAAATGACTTTATTTCTTGCCCAATGTCTCGAGGACGTTTGCTCCTGTGTTTGATTGAGTTGATTACCAGGGACGCTCTGTCCAGATTATTAAGGACGGCCAATGATAATCTTGAAATCATACGAGTTGAAAGAAGAGGGAAAAGGCTGCTTTCAATTATAACAGCTCAAAGCTCTGCAGAACCGTCTCAGAAACCTAAAGAGCTGCTGTGTTTTTCAATACTGTTAAAACTGTATTTTTATTGTTTTGTTTTGTTTATTTTGCATTTGCTTTAATTAAGTTATTTTATGCTGTGGGATTAAATTTTTCATTATTATTTCTTTGTTTACTTATATACTTTCCACAATAATTTAAGTTATGACATTTTACTGATTCGGCTGGTTTGAATAAGACTGGGGAAAGTTTCTGGCACACCTTCACCGACTCCTAAGACGTTTGGAGAAGGTCTAAAATCTGCTAAGGTGAAGATCCCAGCAACACATGAAGTGGTAAGAAACATTTTTATTTGTAGACCAATCGCTTCGGGCCTTCAAACAATCCTGACAAAGGTCACAAGCTGAAACAACTCACAAGAAAATGATGACTAAGACTTCCAATCATTTCATCCTGCAGAGTGCATCAGCAAGGGGCTGAAAATGCAGACCAGACACCCATGGATAACAGATTTTGTCTGAGTTTGTTTTTTACACTTTTGTAAGGTGAAATATTCATTGTAGTTTTGTAAACTGCATTGAAACCAGAAAATGAGAAAAATCACCCAATTCCTATGTTGTGTGACAAAATGCAAGTATTTGTATTCCAGGTTCCAAATTACAGTGAATGTCATTACATGTATGATTTCACCATCAATTTCTGAACTATTTACAAAGGTCTGAGTTTACAGATCAATACTTTCTTGGTAAATTGTTTTTTTTTTTTTTTTTTGATGTTTTGACGTCATGGGTATGCAGTTGTGTATAAATATGAAAGTGTTGTGGTGAGTTGTAACCTTCAGTGCAGTTCTGGGGCCTTTGCTCTTGCTGCCTTTTGGTCGTCCTCTCGGCCTCTTTGGGGTCGGTGGTCCAACGGGCTCCTTTGGAGAGAGATCACATCTGGAGTCAAAGCTAATCAATCAAAAATGCATTTTCTACCCACTCTCTACAAAAAAGACAATTAAGCTATAACTTAAAACTAAATACTACTGGTTTTTTAGTTGAGCGCAGGCTCTGAGGTTTTACCTGCTGCTGTTTTCGAGGCCGGCCCCGACCCCTGCGCTGGGGCTCCTCAGGCGACTGGGCTGTGCTCGACTGAGGAGATGGCTCTTTGGTCCCACTGTCGCTCATTCCTGCGTCTGTCCACCTGCTTTAGAGGGTGTTGGCATCAAAGCCTGGAGCAGAGGCCTCTGGGGCTTTAAGAGGGGAAAGACGTGACTTTTAACAGCAGAAATAACAATCTGAATACCTTTTAACAAAGTGATGCAGCAACCCTTGTCAAATTGCATAATCAAGTATTAGTACTTTCAATCGTCTACTTTTTGAGAGGTTTCAGACAAAGGTGTTTAAATAAGAGTTGACTGTGTAATAACAAGTATAATTGAGAACCATGTAGGAAATTTTTCCAAGAGCAACTGTGGGAACCACTCATGCTCAAGCCTTGGCACCGGGACCATCGGAACATAGACTCTGGCAAATGTTGAGAAACATGAGAATGGAGTGCAGAGACTAAAAGTAGCACAGATATTCACAACTCAATCTGCCATTCAGGATCTGCATCTATTGCACTGATGTCTGCCTTTCCAGCTACCCTCTGTCAGCTGATTCTCAATGCGAAAGAAGTGAAAGTTGCTGCAGGTTTACTTACAGCTGTGGCAATAACACACAAATACGCAGACAGAAGGAAGAAAACAAACCTATTGGCAAATACTCAAAACTGGAAAACAATCAGACAAAAACATGTTTGGGACTGCTGTCACTGATCTGTTTTGGTGTTATGCGGACAACTGTAATGATTATTTTATTTTAGTTTCTGTTGGGATTTATGTAAAGCATTGTCAAGGCAATATCAATGTTTCTTACACTGCCAGTGTAAAGGAATGCTGGGGTAAGATATGTGGCACATTATTAGATTTCAAATGCCATGAAAATATTATATTTGATCAACCAGCTGGACAACTATGTCTTTTGTTGCCCTCGCCTCAAGTGGATTTTAGCAACCAAGTTGCTGAAGCTCAAAAAGAGTGATGGAAAAATTGTGATGATGATGATTAAGATTAGCCCACGTTTTCCTCTCTCTTTTCCTTCTTTTCCACCATCACATGTCTTCACTTTCAGTCCTGGTCATTGAAATCTAGCAGCATCAGTAAATATGGAGTCAACAGACAGTAAACGTTGAACCAAATGACCAAATATGTTATTGCAAAGTGAAATTTAAATGAATGGTCCTATAATATTGCATCCATACAGTCTTTTATAGCTGAAACATTTATCATATTGATAAAACAATAATGACTGAAATTAGCATGATGTGCTCAGGAAATAAAGGAGAAGGAGTGCATGCAGAAAGCCTTAAAATGAGAGGTTGAATTAAAGCATAACTAACAAACAACTAATGAATATATTATGAGTCAATACTAGCGTAGTGTCATGCATTCCCACCCGCTTGCATTAACATGGTAAACAATGAGTCATTAGAAGCCTATTAGAGGTTTTTTTTAACAACTTGGTAAAAGAAAACAGTGACCATATACCTCCTTGAAACTTCAGCAACTGAATATGATCCTTTATAAAGTCATATTAATAACAAAGTCTGCAGAATTGCAATTGCAAACAAGCGCGTGAAACTAAAATTTGGCTGATTATAATATTTGAAGTGCCAAACTTATATTTGGGGAGCCGGACAGATTTATACCTCCCTTGATGTATGTATACACCTGAAGGAAGTTCTAGTGACCAGGATGCTTAAGCTTGCAGGGAATTGTGGGAATGTTGAGATGATGAAAAAGGAAGAAGATCAGGGAAAATCCAGGAAGTGTTTCTTTCAAAGCTAACAATCCTGGACTGGTACAAAAACCCAAAGCTGCTTATGAAATTTCTGATGAGCTCAACCAAAATGTATGTAGCTGAATTTGACTGGATTGATTTTGATTAAATAATCTAGACATGTTTGTCAGGTAAAGTACAGAAATATAGTATAGAAATTAATTAAATAAGATAAATAAATTAATAACCATCTTTCAGGGTAACTAAATATCTATGTGCTGTTTTTATTTATAAGGGTTTCCTATGAAAAAAGGGAAACTGACATGAAAAAAAATTTGTGAGTAAACAATTAGTGCAACTAGTGAAAGCTCATTAGTTCCTGGTTTGAATCCATAAAAAAATTTTTGAATTCAAAAAGTTCCTGGTTTGAATCCATAAAAAAGTTTTTGAATTCAAAAGTTCCTGGTTTGAATCCATATTTCATGAACAATATTTTGTTCTTTGGAGTAATGGTTAGGGTTTATTGCACCAACATCATGATTTCAATATTCAAAATAAATATCACAATGTTTTGTTTAAGTCCTTTTAGAAACTGCTGTATAACTTAATTATCAAAACATTTCAAAATAGCTCAGTCTAGAGCTTTTTTTTTATTACTATATTAATTCTCTCCAGCGTGCAGTGATATTGTGAACAATGCGTCCTTGTGTTATGTAACCTATAACAACTTTATTTGCAGGGATTTATGAAGTTTTCAGTCACAGGAAAAACCGAATGGGAGCCATATATCTCGCAGAAACGAGGTGTCCCAAGGTGGTCATTCACTCGGAGCCTGGCTCTGTGAGGAATGTGCCAAACGCTAATTGCCATCACAGCCTATCAAAACGGCCGCACCGAAGAAGGAAGTCGGAGTAATTCGAGAAATGCGTCCTCGCTGGACGGATTTAAAGCCAAACGAGACGCACGACGTCGCCTCGTCGTTCGCAAAACTCACTTCTCGGAACAACAACAACAGTACGCGCCGATCTGATGTGATGTGATCGGCGGCGCAGCGTCCACTCAGACCGCTCGGTGTTTGGCTCTGCAGTACGGGACTGAATGTACTTTCTGCATATGGGCGGCAGGACCATAGTGAGCAGAAATACACGCTAAAAGCCGAACTCGACAGTCGGAAACAAGGCGAATCCCCTGTTGAGTCGCCGGCGCAAGTTGACGCCAAAATAACAAGTTGAAGCCATCGGCTTTTACGTCTCCTTTCTTATTTACGTTTTTTTAACATTTATTTTAAAAGGCAGAAAGTCGACAACATCCCCCTGCTTCCATCACTTGCGCAACCCATCTCTCTCTCTCTCTCTCTCTCTCTCTCTAAAGTGTGTTTGTTTTTTAGGAGCGATAACACAGCAGGTCTATGGGGGGAGAAAATTGGGGAAATGTCGCGCTGAAAAAGAGCGACGAAAAAAGAACAACTTTCCATGGGCAAAAGGCAAAGAAACACAGGTGCAAAGTCTCTCTTTTCACAGCGTGCATGTATGCAGATATATAGGCTCCATGTTCAGGCTGAGGAGTCATGCAGCCACACACACTGAGGCAGACAGAGGGGGGAGCAGAGGAAGTTGATCCTTACCTTAGGTCGGTTTGCAGCTTTACCTGGAAGTTCACACACACTCCGCTCACTTTGTGCTCCTGCACAACTATGAAAATCTTAGTGTATCGCCTGTCTCATTGGCTGGATTGAAATGGTAATCAGTCTCTCTCTCTCTCTCTCCCTCTCTCTTTCTGTTTCTCTCTCCCTCACTCCCTCCCTCCCTCTCTCTCTCTCTCTTCGTCTCTCTCTCTCCTTCCTAATCGGAAATGTGTGTGATCCCCCAGACGTCCAGTCACGAATACCCCAGATGCAGTATAGTGGGGGGTTGCACCAGAGCAGTATGCATTGCATACTTTCTCTATTAAAGCATGTTTCAAGAAAGAACGGGGGTAGGAGGGTTGAAAACAGAGGACCCCGCCCCAAGGGCTGCTCCACCGGACCACCCACTTGAGAGGGGGAAAGAAGACAGGGGTATTACCAGACTAGAGGGTCTGGTTCCGGGGTTCACCAGGAAAAAACAGAAAAAGAAGAAGTGGGGGAGGCGGGGAAGTCCCCCCTGCCCCCCCAAAATAAAAAAAGAAGAAGGGAGGGAAAAGGTTCAGTTTGCTTCATAGTGAGAGCAGACAGTCTGCACAGTTTCAAGCAGAGAGTTTCACTCACTTTCCCTGCTGTTATCTCCCCACCTACATGGCCAGAGATACACAGTATCACTAACCTTGTAAGTCATAAAGGGCCGTTGTATCAAAGGGCTTCATGGGAACCTAATCTGCTGGGCTGTAAACTGTTGTGCTATTGTTTAGAGGGGGGGAAATACAGAATGCCTGTTTTATTTAATCAGTTGTTCTGCAAACATGCGTTGCAGACGTCTTGAACGTTTCCACATTCTGTCATGTTACAATGACAGAACATTGTATTTAGTGTGTTTAGTGTGATATCTGTATGGAAATAGCACACAATTGTGAAGTGGAAGAAAAATAACACATGGTTTCCAGTTTCCTTATTAAAAAAAAACAAAAAAAACTGAAAAGTGCGGCGTGTAAAAATGTAGTCAACACCTCCGAGTCAGTACTTTGGAGAATCACCTTCAGCTGCAGCTGCCAGAGGAACGTCTTCCACATGTTTTCCTCAGTTTGATTGCCGCTTATTCATACATTTTTAGATTTGTGGAGTTCAAAATAAATAGTTATCCGAGTTGTGCATCTCTACATTTTCTGCAAAGTTACTAAAGTTAGCTTCTTGGCTGTTTCTCTGAATTATTTCCCCACCTGGTCTGTCAGTTTAGGTGAGCAGCCATGTTTTACAGTTGTGCAATGCTGTTTTTATTTATTTTATGAAGGGCATCCTCTCTCAGCCGGACAACAAATCAATAACAATATTGTGACAGGCACTATAATAAATCTGGGAGATTTCAATAAAATCCTGATTTCTACAGCACTTAACAGTGTTTTAAAACACTTGATTTTATCTATTTTGGAGTTAATTCTTGCTATCTCAAACCAAACAGTAAAACTCACTCTTTTTCTTTCAGCTTTATGCAGAGGTTTATGCAAAGTGATGAATTCAGATGAAAAGAGTTTGCAGCACACATTCCAGCGGCGGCTAAAGCTGGACCTCTAGTGGAGTCATGTCAGGTGAGTCTGCTGGCAAGAGCCCAGGATATAAAACTGTACGTTACAAAAGATGGAGCCCACCGCTGAGTTGAAACCACGGCAGTAACAGGTTCATGATGTAATTCAGAAATACTCAGAATGAATATCCAGTGAAACCACAATGTTGCACAACGACACATTCAGTCAGAAACCAATACGGTAAAGCGTTTAATTCACTAATAATACACGGGATTTCTCAAGTTATTATAGCAGAAAACAGAGTAACAAGAAAAACAGTGGCATATCTTTGTGGCAGTTTTTCTCAGCATTTTAGTCAGGCTTACCAGAAGCTTCTGCAAGTGCTGCTGAGAACTTGTACTCATTTATGAACTGGACCTGTCATCATCTTTACGTATTACTAAGTGAAAGTGAAGAGAAATCATCCATCAACGTCCACAATCAGTCTCTATTAGTTTCTGTTTGTGCAGAAAATAAGAAAAACAAAACAAAGATGCTGCATGCACAGGTAAAACGTTGGTACCAAAACCAACAAGAGGAAGACACTGCAGGGAGTTTTTTTTTTTTTTTTTTTTTGCAGCGTGTCCACATGTGAGAGTTCAGTGGCCCTCTGCAGTCGGAGATTTGGTCGGACTCTGATCTTGAGGTTTATTTAAGCTGAATTCCGTGGGCTCATCAGGACCGGGTTACAAAAATCCTCCTATAGAACTAGAAAGAATGTGCAGCGCATACAGTTCTGCATAAGGCACAAAGGCATGTCTTTGGAGGTGGGGCAGGCATCAAAAGACAGGCAGAGGAGGGATTTCTTTTTAGAGGCTGGGGGCAAAGAATGTATTTTGGAGCTTCCACTCAATGCCAAGGCGAGACAGGGGGAGGCGTACAGTTTTGTAGTAATGGGAGTACTTACAGGGGGGTGGATGTTCGGATCTTTAAAACTCCGCTATAAACCAAACTCTTCTCTTGCGGTGCTTCTTGTCTCACCCAGATGGGAAACAACTCATTTGATACAGTTCTTTGGAAAAGTATGCACGCCTCTAACTTTTCTTTTTTATATTATTTATTGGGATTTTGTAATGGGTAATTAGAAAGTTTAGAGAAAATGATGCATGCTTTCAATTTTTGGAGTAGATATGTATTCATCCATCGTCTATACCAGCTTGTTCTTGCAAGGGGTGGGTAGACGACTGATATCCCTAACCTCCGGCAAAATATGGTGGAGGCAGCATCATGCTGAGGGATATTTTTCTTTGGGGATGGATGGAAATAAACACAAGAAAATCCTGCTAAAATAGGTTGTGGCAGAGCTTCATCTTCCAGCAAGACAACAATCTTAATCTTAAACCTAACAAAGCAACAATTAAATGGTTCAGCTACAGACATATTAATGTGTAAAACTGGCTGAGATCTAATTGAAAACCTGTGGCGATTCTCAAAACCTAAAATTCACAAACTTGTTCTCTTTTATTCTAATGGAGCTTCAACCATTTTGCAAAGAAGCATGAGGACAAATATTTTAGATTTTAGTTTGCAAAAATATTGTACAAACCAAGTGTGAAGCTTTGTGTTGTTCTTGTTTCAAAAACCTTTTTTTGTTAATTATCTTTTCATATTTGGCCTGAGACGACAATATACAACTTTAAAAACAATAATTATTATCAAGAAGAACATTTATAAGAGCAGGAGTCAGAATGTAGATGTACTTAAATTAATCATGGAGATGTATGCATTAGCATATTATACATTTGTACACAAATTCAACTCTGAAGGACTGAAAAATCCCAGAGGAAAAACCAAAAAGTTGGTTTTCTAATTTGGAAAGTCAGAAATACCTCATCTGCTCCTCTAAAATGTGGTTAGATATTGAACATTTCACCTCTTACACTTTTGTCTGCCCCTTTGTCATAAAATTACTCCAAAACATACATAGCAACTTTTGTTAGTAAACATTTTGCTAAAGGGATTGAATTCATTAAAACAGATCAATAAGTCAGTACTTACAGCTTCTCCTTGATTCAAAGTGCAGCACTCAGTTCCTTCAGACTAGCCAGAAGCAATTAGCAAACACCTAGTGGGCCTGCATCTGCTCAGTTCACTATAGGAGCAACGTCTGAGTGAAACACTGGTAAAAACATTGTTAAAGAGTAAATGGAGGAACATCATTGTGATGACCTCCTGACGGCAGAGTTTCAGAGCTTCTTAAAGGGACAGAGGCCCAATTTCAAGGCCTTAAATTAAAAAGCAAAATTTCTTTTAAGTTGAGTTTGATATATGCAGTTTTTTATAACAACTGAAAGTAACGTAGTTACTTTATTGTGCTATCACACGCCACCATGTCTTGACAATACTGGCCCTTTAAAACGTAAGGAGTCCATAATGTAAAGCATAATGTTAGCAAACACCAACATTGTCAGAATGAATTATCTCCAAGTTTAAGTGCAATAAAAGAACGTCGAGCAGATACAAAACAACAAATTACACTGTCTTAATGTTTACAGTAAGAGCCCTTCCTGGTAACACTGTGGCATCATAGCTACACAAACCTGCACATAAATCCCAATTGTCCAGTTTGATTAGCACAAGTTTTAACCTCTAACAGAATAAAAATGTGCATCTCTTGCGAATGTTGAAGCATTTACTCAGTTCCTAGACAGCTAAGCCATCTCCATGACCTTCTTGATCCAGTCTACGTACACAGACACGCGAATGAAAATGTTGGGCTGTCCCGGGTGTCCGCAGCGCCTCATGGGGATGATCACGCCCTCCAGCACCCAGCAGTCGCCGTTCTGACACGCCAGAGGCCCGCCATAGTCTTTCTGCAGACACACAGCAACAACAGTCCAGAGTCATTATTTGTCTCTGTTATGACTGAGTGTCACTGCCAAGGTGGGAAACATCTTGCAGTCAGTTCACTTACATTAGCCATATGGTGGATGTGTTTGATTTATAGGAACTTATAAATAGCTGTATGTTCTCTCCTCAAAGCAGGATAAATCAACAGAGGAGGGATTTTTTTTTTTCTGAGGGGATTTAATCTACAGCAGTTCACATGCTTTACTTCTCATCAAAGGAACAGTTTCATATTTGGGGAAACACATTTAGTCACTTTTTATGAAAGATTTGAAAACCATTATTTATTAGATTCTATTTTCTGGAGTGACTTTTCTATTAGTGCTACTTTTCATTGTTATATGATTGTTTAGGACTATTGGAGACTTAAGTAAGAATAAAAGAAAATGCTAAGAAATTAGGTGGTCTTGTGGGCAAAGTCCACTGTTCTGTGTTATATATGCTGGTGTGTAGTAAACGTAATGTTTATTTCCTCTACCTGCCATCCCAGCAGCTCTGGCAACATATTATAACTTGACCTAAAACAGAGTTCAAGTATTTGGCTCCCTGGGCCCTTCACAGTGACTCCTAACCCACCAAAAAAAAAAAAGAAAAAACAATGTCGCTTTTAACTTCTGAGTAGAGAAGGAAATTTAAAACACAAGTATATTTTAAATGCAATTTTTGCACAGAATTTCCACATCAGATTGAAAATAACGATGCAAGAAATGTTAGACAAGGAATGGTTATTTAATTAAGCCACAAAATAAACTTGGTAACATCTAGAAAATCAAACTCATGATCTTCATGATGCTGTTTGTTCACTAATGTTTTCTAACAAAGTTGTGAATTCTTCATCTGCTGACTAAGTAGACAACTTCTGAAGTCAGTCGGTGGCACTGGATTTCATTTAGGAACATCAGAGTGCAAGGGGGTTGGATTACAAATGCAGAAATGCTTTTAATAATTTTTATTTGTAGTTAAAGTTGAAAAATTTGTTGTATTTTCTTTTCAATTAACCACTCTGCTGGTTCATCACAATAACTCATAAAGTGCATTGAACTTTGAGGAGATAAAGTGAGAATACTTTTGCAAGACACTGCATACCTCTAAGCTACCACCAGGGGTCAGCTAAATGCTTGCATGATAGTCAAAAGTGTATTTATTGTATTAATAATGTTCTTTATATCTGCATAAGTAAAGAAAACTGCATGGACTGAGAAAAAGGCAGCTATCAACATGTTCACTGCAGACACCTACCTCACAGGCACCAACTCCAGCCTGAAAAGAGTTTGTGCACATCTCATTTTCCCGAACACGACCTCTGAAGTATCTGTTGCATTCAGTGTTGCTGATAACCGGCACATGTGCAACATTGAGGACCGTCTCATCTCCCGTCCCTGAGGAAACAGCGACAAGAAAACTACAGCAAGCAATGTGCTCAGAAAAGGTGTGGAAATTTCCCTCTCTCTCATTTGCATGCAGCGTTACTTTAACCTCAAGGTTTAATCTTTTGCAGAAAGTGCATCCGTCGCCAGAGTCTCTCTTACCTCTCGTCTCACCCCATCCAGCTATTTCACACTTTGTGCGCTCGGGCACTATGTAGCGCTCAGGAGGGAGGCAAATCTGAGAGACACGCTCGTTGAACTGGGCCGGACTTGAGACAGACAGAAAGCGCAGTCACAGGAGAAACTGTGGTAGCTATTATGTGCAAGTGGTTGTGTGTGAGGGTGTGTCCTGGTGCACGATTATACACACTACTCCAGCTGCAGCATGACCAGCTGAGACTCAGAGGGTCCACACACAATCTTGGTGAGAGGAATGGTTTGCACGCCAGGCTCTCCTTCCTGCGGGTCACGGAAAAGAGTTCCCATCATGGCGGAGTATCCAGGAAGGTCCACATAGCTGTCAGAAAAAGGAAACAAGAAGACAAACATCAAAAAAGGCTGCTGCTTATTTATTTAAAATAAACCATTAACATTAAGTTGTGCATTTTTGTTTTAACTTTTTTCTGTAAATACCAAAAGGGTCGTAATTTTACCCAAGGTTATGATAAATCTCATACAGGCCCGTGCTTGTGCATAAATGTAACAAATAAATGGTTATAATTTTCTAAAAACAAATTCCTGTGTTACAATACACTGCCACAATAAAACTTTATTTTATTTTATTATTTGCAACTACCAATCTACTTTTCAGTTATCTGAGGATATAAAGTCCAGCTAATGAATGCATCAAGAAAGTGACGCCATTTTTAAACCAAATTCATGTAAAATGTTAGATTTTTTTCCCCTTTTCTGTATTTTCAAAGTTAATCATCTGAGAAGAACTTAAAAAAACAGTTGTAGTTTGAAACTATTACAATTTATAAACTAAAAGTAAAGGTTGGTGTAGCACACTCACTGACTAAAAGAGGGTTATATGTTAACTAATAAATTAACCATTGTACATTGGGCTATGTTCACTGACATTCTATTTTCTATTTTCTATTAAATATATTAAAAAATTAGTTTGCTATCCCAGCTCCACGTTTGACGAGTAAAATCTCAGAGGCTTCCTAAATGAACTACCAGGAGGAGAAGCACTGCTTTGTGCTGATCACCCATCTGGGATTCACCAGAGATCCTCCACAGAAGTGGTTTCCTTTCCTGCACACAAAGAGGTCAGAGGTTATTCACAGCGCAACAGAGACTGTTTTGATAGTTCATCACCAAACGCCGTCAGCTGTCAGCCTGACCTGTCTCTGAGGCTCACAGTCCACGGCGAGTTCCCAGGGATTCCATTCACGATACGCAACATGGTCGGCTGGGGACGGTCGTCTCTCTTCCCGCACTCGCTGAACTCCACCGTCTCTGTGTTCACGAAAAGACAACAATATGACCACACAAGAAAATTGTGCCGTCTTCTGAGCAGCTTTTTGTCCATTTTAATTGGCAAACTAACCTACAGTTTCTGTCAGTGGGACTTTTTCTCCAGCTGTTTGAAAGCGACAGAAAACCCCCCAAAAAAACATTAATAAAAAGAGGATTGGATAAACAGTTTTCTTGAACTATTTTAAACTTAACACACAAAAAGCAGAGGTAAGTACCACACTGTTTAATGGCGCAGTAGTCAAACTCAGTTTTGGGGTCAGTGGTGTAGCACCAGGGCCCGTGTTGGTCCCCGTCTGGGTTACGACAATAATTCTCCGTCAGGTTGGCGTCCGGGTGCGTCCGTGGGTTTATTCTGAAAAATAAAAAAGTCACACAAATGTAAACATATTAGTCATATGAGATAAGAGCTTTGCTTTGTGGAAAGAGGCTGGCTTTTGCTGTGTTTGTATAAAAGCCCCAAAGTATCAACACACCTGGTCTGATGAGGTGTGTTCACGTTCCATTTCTGACAGGTGATGCCTTTGCGAGTTTTGCGGACGACACCTCTGTAGTTTTTCCCATTTTCATTGTAGCAGTCTGGGAAGGTGAAAAGATTGTCGTCATGAGCAGAGCTGGACGACATGGCTGGGAAAGTTATCGTGATGCAGGCATCTCGTATTGGTCGATACTGATCATTATTGGATTCGTATTTTTTGTTCTTTTAAATATCTGAAAAACTGTAAAACTGGTGACACGACCTTTCAAGTTTTATTTACAGCTTTCACTCCATGCAATTGTTTACTATTTTTAAGCAGTTATGAATGAAACCTTAAACCGCCTCAAAAGTTACTCGTCAGACTGTCGCTAGATTACCAAAGTAATGAGATTCTAGGCAACCAAATAGCGCGTGATTTAGTCGATTCCATCAACTTAGCTTAGCTTAGCTTAGCTTAGCTGTGAGAGACGGAGGAGTTAAAGACTTTCATCAACCAGTATTGGATGCTGTTGATATTGATCATGTGTTTATTGCAGTAAATATTGTGATTGGTTTATTGTTTAGCCCTCGTTATAAGTGAAATGAAATTGTCGTTGAAGTGGAGGAGTGCGTTGAGACCTTCACTGGATTTATTCTCAGATCATTTCAAGGCGACGTACCCTCGGCCTCTATGTCATCAGCGCAGCGTTTGATCTGCAGGCAGAGAACAGTCCTCATCTCTGGCACTGACGTAAAACACCAGGGAGCCTCAGAACCGTCTGGGTTACGGCAGTAGTTTTCCTCTAGACCTCTGGATCAGACGAAACCAGGAATGAGTTTAGCACACCAATAATCCTCCTGTCTAATTTAGAGAATTAGACAGCCCACTGAATTTGCACAGTGCCTGGCAATAAATGTTCTCACATCTTAAATTATCATTTTATTCTTCTGTTATTTCTCTTGAATGTTGGTATTTATGTCCATTCTCAGGCCATTTCAGACATTTCTGTGTTTTGTCATTCATTTTTCCTAAATCTACCTGTTTGTTTAGCACCACAATACACTAAATATCTGTTTCTGTTGTATCAACCTTCCAGAACCTCTCAGGTCTTCTGGTTCTGGTCTGCTCTGCATCCCCAGAACCAGAACCAAATGAGGAGAAGCAGCTTTCATCTATGCACCACAAATTTGGAACAAACTTCCAGAAAACTGTAAAACAGCTGAAACACTGACTTCCTTTAAATCTTGACTAAAAACCCACCTGTTTAGAATTGTATTTGAAACGTAATCAATTAAAAATGTAATGATGGACCTTGATTTAATGTATTGTTGATTCTATGTTGCATGTTTTTGTGTTTGTCATGATGTAAAGCACATTGAAATGCCTTGCTGCTGAAATGTGCTGTACAAATAAAATTTGATTGATTGATTGATTGTTAGTCCCTGCAGTTATCATACTAATATACTTATGCAACCTATCCACCCCCTCCATTAAAATCAACGCAGTGCTTACTTGCACTCGTAGATGTTTGGGATGAAAGGATGCCGATGAGGAACCTGGACGTCCCATCGCTGACAGGGGATGCCAGACGCCGTCTCGTTGACTTTGCCACGATAGTCTTCGCCTCGGCCTCTGAAGCAGTTGGTGGTGAAGCTGGAGCGCTGCCTCTTCTCCACAAGGACTTCAGCTAAAGTCAGGGAGAAATGTTAATAAGAAATAATCAATACCTGTGTTGGTCCAGGTATAGGTAAAAATCATATTAATCCAGATGAACAGAAATAAAACATTTTAATCCTCACACGTCTTCATTCTCACTTTGTCGCTATGAAAGCAGTTACTTTTCAAGCCGGGACTTTCTTTGCTGAAACTTTTATGTAAATTTAACCAGCGTTTCCAAATGGATTTAAAAGGACAAAAAAAGTCATTAAAAGGGAATCAAGAAAATCTAAAATATGCAATGTAATTAAATAATGTAGAGTATTATAGAGTGGCGTGTAGTATTTTCATCAATTATGTAACCACAAGATGGCGCTCTTTGCAAACTTTTGTTGCTGCATTGATCTGCTCTATCACCAGAACAGTTCGTGTTGTTCTTGACACATTACACAATTCATGCTGAATGTTGGGGAAAACATTGAATTGCTGCTTTAAAACAACTAAATAATAATAATCCTGCACATTAAATTCTATTAGTTTTTCACTGATCAGTCAAAACAAATCAGGAGAAAAAGAAAAAATAAGAAACCAAACAAATAAAAACTAATTTAATTCTTAGCAAGTTGCATAAACAATACAATAGCTGGAAGTTTGCTTCAATTAACCCTCACTGAACCAAAAGACGTCTGAGAATAGTCAAACCTAAAATCTTGGGCAAACATCTGTTTGGTTCTGCTGCAATCAGCCCTGAACCCGACACAATGGTACCAACCCTGAAATATTTAAGAAGCTAATGTGTCAAACAATAACAAGGTGATTTAATTACTTCAAATTAATAACATAACCTTGTCCCATTGTGTTTTTCAGGAATCAGCTTTTTTTCCCTTTCCACACTAAAGCAAATAAATTAAAAGAAAATAACAAACTAAACTTTATAATAAGACAGAAACCACTGCAACAAAATCTATAGTTTAGTTATTAGAAACAAAAATTGTGTCCGCAATGTTTACATTTTGCATAAATCTGTCTATCCAGCTTTAAATGTTTAGGATTTTTGTGCAGAAAAATAAATATTTTCTCACTGCATTTGCTGATGTCGCAGCTCTCTCTCTCTGTTTCAGGGTCGGTGGTGTAACACCACGGCACCGGAGAGGCATCCGGGTTACGGCAGTAATTATCATCTAAGCTCTTGTCAGGGTACCTGAAATAGACAGACATCACATTAAAACATGACAAAAGATTAAAACCGAATATTAAACAATGTTGATGAAACTGCCACCACAATTATTTTCACCTCTTGTGAAGATATATTTAATCATTTTATCTTGTCTACACTTGGGTCCATGATCAGCCTTGCTTTTCACAAGATTTTAAGAACACAACATATTTCTCTATAGGTGACCAGGAACATCTAGAGAATAGCAATGCATTGCAACAAAGAAGCCAATCAATGTGGAAAGCCCACTAAAAGCATTGCAGCTATGCATGAACATGTACTTTTCAGGCTGGTAGATGTGTTGATGAGGGAATTGCTGATCCCATCTCTGACACTCTTTGCCGCTCTCAGTGTGATCCACCTGGCCTCGATAGTCTTCCCCGTTGCAGGTGATGCACACCTCTGCAGACACAGGCACAAAGTCAGACATTTTTATGCAAGCAATGAGAAAAACTCCTCAAAAAATAAGCAAACCAGTACATCATTTGTTGCTAATGGAGTTACACTTCTGTAAGCTCTGTTAATATAATAATCTATTTGTGAAACAAAATATGAAGAACAGGAATTGTTTGAATTTTCTGTCAAGGATCTGGATTTTTTAAGGAAATATTTTTACAGATGCGAAAACTTGCACTCAACCACAAAACCGCAGCTATATATTATGTATAATATTTCAACAAACCAGAAGCCAATAAGTAAATCAGTACATAATTTGTTTCCAATAAAGAAATAGGTTGATTCTTTTTCTCTTTGAATATAATCATTTTATAAAATAAAGTTAAAAAAAAATAAAAAAAATTTAATTTTTGCATCAAGGATCTTTTTTACGAAAAATGTCTTTACAAATATGCTAAAACTTGCTTTCAAAACTGCATCTGTGTTTCCTGTATAACATGTCAGCTGCGTGATCTTCAGTTTTTCGTACCGTCTTTGCACTGTGGGATGTTGCAGCTTTCGTAGCGTCGCTCCGGGTCGGTGGTGTAGCACCACGGCCCGATCCGATCCCCGTCCGGGTTCCTGCAGTAGTTCAGCTCCAGACCGTTGGTAGGCGAAGGAGTCCATCTGAGACAAACGGGGTGGTTTTAACTGAGTGACAGATTGACCCTCATAATGTGTGGGTGGTGACATTCAGTTTACACGCTCACTGCGGCTGGATAAACTGAAGCACAGGACTTGGACTGAAAGAGAAAACCCACAGCGCTCTGATGAGTCACTGCGATGTTTGTTTTACTAAAATCCACAGAGATCTGGACGTTTCATCTCGAGTTGCACAATTTGGGTTTCCCATGAGGCTGGCACACAGTATGGCGAAAACAACTATTAAAATGTTTAACCAGAGTAATCAGAACATCTTTATTTGTGATGTTTGTTTCTTTTCACATTATTTTGATGTGTCCTTCACATGTTTATGAACAGATTGCTTCTGAATTACTTTCTCTCATCTTCTTAACATTAACATTGGTTAGACTGGAAACCAAAGACAGAAAGAAAACAAATAATCTGACTTAAAAAATTTTGTTAATTAGTTACAAGTAATTAAATTAAGTTTATCCAAGTAAATATATTAAGTTTAAGTTGTCATGTTAAACACTTAAATAAATTAAGTTCTACAGACAAATTTTATTTGATTACATGAAACAATTTAAGTAAACATTTTAAGTTGAAATGCCATTTTCTTTATTTCGGTGAGCTGGATTTCTAATATTAAGGTTTTAGTTGTTGCTCATATTTTGTTTTTGCATACAGCGCATACTATGGAAATCATTCAGAGTTACTGTCAAGTTTTGATATTTTGCTGTCAAAAAAAACTGATTTAAAAATAAGAGCACTTATTTCTTAATAAACATTAAGAAATGTTTATTTCTTAATAAACGAACAGAAACAGGAATTAGATACTCCAAGTTTTTTTGTATTTCCTTCATTGGTGCATTTAGTTTTATCCATTCAAAACAAAAACCCAATGTTCCAAAAATAACCAGAGGGTATATCCTCACTTTTTCTTGAACGAGGTTACACATCTGTGTTTACACATATTTAATGTTTGAAACAATGTTATTTTTGTTATATATGTGGAAGATAGGGACATATAAGGAACACAACTTGACATTTCTCAGTAAAGAGCTGACTACATGACGATTTGTCGTTTTTTTAGTTGTTTGTCACCTTAGAGTTTAAAAGTATTTTCAAATTTAATTCAATTCAAAAATGATTTATTAGTCCCACAGGGAACCTCAATCATAATCAATAGTAATGATTAAAATAATAGTAATGCCTCTAACTATAATAATAATAATAGTAAAAAGAATTAATAATTAAGTTTGTCTTAGTTTAAACATGACTGAAAACAACTATCCTGAATGTGGTGATAATAAATCATATCATCTAAATCATCTTTTGGAGATAAAAAGGTAATTTTCATTTTCTTTTCTTTCTGTAATTTTTATGCAAATATCATTTTTGGCAAAACTTATTGGTATTTTTAAATGAATCACATGTAAAATCAAATTGACAGATGGAAATATTAGAGGTAAACTCTTAATGTATATAATTAATGTTTTTAAAAACCCCTCCATATTTTGAAAGGTTAATTTCTCTTGTAATGTTATTTTAGGCATGTTTATAATAATTATTGACTTGTACATAAGAAACAAATCACCTGTGATCGTGAGGAAACTTTGACCACCACTGCTGGCAGGTGAGTCCACTTTTTGTGGTGAAAACTTTCCCCCGGTAGTCTTCCCCTTTACCCACAATGCACTTCCTTACATAAACTGCAAAAACAAACCAAAACAGTTGTTAAAAAAGAAATAAATAAATTACTGATTTTCACCAGTCATCTCTTCACCTTTCTTCTCGTAAAGGTCACAGTTGACGTTTCTCTTTATTTCTGCGTTGCTGCCGTCGGCAACCCAGGGCAGATGTTTACAGGTGCCAATCGGACGAATCTCGTAGTTGAAAGCTCTGGAGATGAGAAATGTTTTTTCAATGTTTGTACAACCAGACAAAGGTTGTAAAAACGTGCATACAAGTTATGCATGTTTGGAAACTGTGAGCGACGTCATCGGATTCAGTGTCTGGCTGCTGCAGATCAGGGAGGAAATGTGTGCGAATAAAACACTTTTTGTCACAAACAAAGCTGTAAAAACAGTAACTTTGAGGACAAAAGTATATCTCACAGGCTACTTCCATATTTAGGAGCTTTAGCAACTGCTCAAACTTCCAACTCTGACAGATATGAATGAGGAGTCTAATGCTGAATTTGCATCATGATTCATCACGATGTAACATGGGGGGAAAAGTGTGCGTGGAGAGAGTTTCTCTTCTCTTTGGGCAGCAATTAAGATGTTTAAAGTGACAGCAGGAGATAAAATTAGCCTGGAAGAGGACAGCGTTTAGTGTAGGCTGATGGCAAGACACTTTCTGCACATGCAGGCTATGTTGGCGTTTGTTTTTTGCTCACTTTTAGAAAATCCAACAAGAAAATGCTGCAGAAATCCAGATTATGTTTGAAGTGAGCACAAAAAGAGATTAGAGAAATTTTACTTAGAGGTTCGAATTATTGTAATTCTATTCTGGAAAATTTTAATGTAACTAATAAACAGGAATATGTCCACACAAATTAATTTAATTGATGAGCTTTGTAAAGGTTTAGTTGCGCAGTAAAGTGCACTTTTTGTCTCTGCTGACTTATTTGATGTCTGAAAGCAAAACCTTTGGTTTTAATATAAATACTAGTGAATATATTGACCCTTGCAAAGGTTTTCAGCCACATTAAACTTGTTTTATATTTGGTAACAACAACAACTATCTCTGGTGTGTTTTGTTGGGGATATCAGAAAGAACTGGTTGTTTTTTTTTTTTTCATGTTATAGCTGAAATATACCAAAACAAAACACTATGTTTACCAGACTGAATTTTATGCCAATTTTTCTTCTCAAAACAGCACAAGTGTAACTAAATTGAAACGAGAGAGTCTGTGAACATAAAGTTTACATTGTTGTAAAGCATTATCAATTGGTTTTATGTTTAGACTTTGACTGGGCCATTCAAATACTCCATTGTAATTCTGCTTTTATATTTAGGTTTTAAAAAAACAAGTAAACAAATAAAAACTAAATCAAGCCCAGTATAAGTCTCTTGCAGGCTCTAACAAGTTTTACTCCATAAAGTTCCTTTATTTATCCATATTCCCAAAAGAAACAATTCCCACAGCATGATACAGCCACCACCACACTGAAGGCAAGTGATGTTGTGTATTCAGAGGAATGCGAAGTGATTCTTGTCTGCAGACAGTTCGGTTTTACCTGCAGTCCTGAGAGTGTGAGCAGCGGCTTGCGCACTCCTCCAAGTTCAAACCCGGCAACATCTGCATCCGAGCCGCGTTCCAGGCGGTCGGAACGAGCTCCCTGCCCTCGGAGCGCTGGTAGTCGTTGAGTGAGCTGCGGAGTGCTGTTCATGCACAGCAGAACCCCACACATAATGCAGATGTGAATGTGTTGATGCTGATAGAAACGGCAAGCAGCAGATCAGTGGCACCATCAGGAACATTTGGACATGACCCTGCACACATGTAACCTTTGGACCAAGGCTCTCCTGCTGCTGTTTTGTGTATTGTGACAAAAAAGGGCTTCAGATAGCTGCATGTTTACACTTAGCTGCTAACCCACACCTAATACTTCAGTCATTTTTTGTCATATGTCCAAACAAATCAATCTTCAAACTATTTACAGGAAATTATCAATTACTTTTTCTGATTTCAGTTTTCTAGATCATATTTTCTCTCTGTGATGCAACTTAATTTCATTATTAATCTGGTAAAGTGTCCCTAAAAGTAAACCAAACATTTAAAAGTCTCAACTCAGTTTAAATTTGGGAAAACCAGGGTCTTACCAGAACTCAGTCCAATAGTCAGGAGAATGCAGAGCAGAAACAGCTTCATTGTTTGCTTCTGAGGAAGATAGCTCTCTTTTGTAATGATACTAGTATCAACTCGGATTTAATTACAATGAGGTGAGTCTGAATGTTGCACTTCTGACTACAAGCCCACCTCAAATAATTTTAAAAACTATAAAAACACCTAAAGGTTCATTAAACCGTCAAAAATCCTCACAGAAAGTCAGAAAGCAGAAATCCAGAGAGAACCCCAACAGCCCACTGCAGAGCACTAATCTGCTAACCAAACAGCAGCCTTAATCCCCCAAACAGCTAATCGATAAGCTTATTAATCATTAATAAGCAGTGACACATTGCCCGGTGGTGTGTAGTTTACCAGAGAGCCGCTAGGGGGCAGGAGAGTCGATTTTAGTTGTGTTTTTCTTCTTTCTCCCCATTTCCCGGGGAGTCAAAGTGAAACTGCAGCTGCTTCCTCGTTTATTGTCTACAGATTAATCTTCGCTGTTTGGGTAAGAAAATGCTCACATTCTCACCCTGGTCGTCATGAAGGTGCAAACAGTGAACCAAATGGAAAACGAGTCAAGATGGACTTTGATCAAACTGAAACTCTGGAAAGCTGCAAACTGTTTCACTGCGCCGCGATCACACATCAGCTGCAAACAGCAGAAAGACAAACAATCAATGGAAACATAAAGCAGATACATGTTGCTTCTAATGTTGCGCTGCAGGTAATCTGCAACCTGTGATTTTATTGCCAATCCCATCAATCAGCAGGAAGTCACTTTAGTTTTTGACAATCTCAACAGATGTTCCAACATTTATCAGAGCTTTTTGTAATTTCTGCTTTGGCTCCACAGAGTCTGGTGTTTTTCTGTGCTGGAAAAAATACATGCTCCACGTTATCCATTAAATGTTTTTCATTTTTACCCTACTTTTGTATAGATTTGTGTAGTTTTACCTCCTTGGTGTCTGAGCTTTATTGCTGCTTAAAAGTATTTTCTACCTTAGTGTTTTACAGCCTGTAATGGATTACAAAGCATTTTCTTTGGCTTTGAGGCTAAAGAATCCCAGTGAGAACTTAACAAAATTACCCCAAGAGCAGGTCGTTCTGCAACAATGATCCATACCACGTCAGAGTCCACTCTGACTTACGGAAAGCAAACAAATGAACAGAAAAAGATTAAAATTGTACGCTGGTCCAGTCTAACCTTTTACTAAAATGAAGCACAGATTACTAATCAATCCATCAATTATCAAAATCCCTTCAATATGGCTGAAATAAAACCATTCTGCAGAGCTGAGTGAGACAAAATTCCTCCACAGTGATGTTAAATAAAAATGTATGCAAGTGTAAAAATTATAAACTAGAATAGAAGGTTGATGGTGCAATTACATTTTAACATGAGGCAATGCAGGTTTGGATAGCTTTTTCCCTAATAAGGAAAATCATCACTAAAAATGCTTTTTGCATTTATTCAGGTTAAAATTTGTTTCTCTCCAGGATGTCGGAGGTGAAGACGAGCGAGGGCAGTGTGGAGGTGGAGAGCTTCAAAGCTCCACTTTTCTACAGACAAAGCGAGCCGGCCGCCGGAGAAGCAAAGATGTTGGTTCTTCTCCTTCATGGTATTCGTTTCTCATCGGAGAACTGGCTCAACATCGGCACTCTGGAGACGCTGGCCAAAGCTGGCTGCCGAGCGGTCGCCCTCGACCTGCCAGGTGCGTCCAACGTGAACAAACTTCAGATCAGTCAGTCGAAGCACTTCGGTCGTGGCCACTGAAAGTGCTTCACAAAGAGTAAATGCTAAAACTATTGTCATGCGGACAAATACAAATACAACACCGAATATAAGACAATAAAAGTTAAAGGGGCAGTATCATGTATTTTCTAGCAACTTAGTGCTATTTAATCAGATAATCAAGTAGTTGTTATCTTCAGATTTTATAAAAATGCTATATATAACAAATGTGACTTAAAATTAATTTGGGTTTGTAATTTAACGCCTTGAAATTGGACCTCTGTCTCTTTAAAAGCTCCTGCTGTTTTTGAAAGTCAACACAACACTACTCCACTATTAAACCTTTAGCAACATTTTTACCAACATTGCACTGAGAAAGAGCTCATATGATGAGCTCAGCTAACACGCAGCTCCACCAGGTGTTTGCTAATTGGTGCTGGCTAGTCTGAAGGAGTTGAGTGGGGGAGGGTTGTTCTTTGGGGCAGAAGTTTGAAAGCTGCAGCTCTGAGGAGAATTTCTCTAACATTCATTTCTGGTTGAATGTTTTCTTTTTTGTTGGGCTAGAAACCTATTTTCAATCTCCATTATGAGACCTTTCTAAGTCTACTGTCCACTTTCCTGTCCTCAGAACTCGGTCGGTCCAAGTCGGCCAAAGCGCCGGCGTCGGTGGGAGAACCGGCCCCTGCAGCGTTCCTGAAGGAAGTGTGTGACCAGCTGAGTTTGAGCCCTGTCGTAGTGATCAGCCCGTCACTCAGTGGGATGTACTCCCTCCCTTTCCTCCTGGAGCATCAGCCTCTGATCCGAGGCTACGTTCCCATAGCGCCAATCTGCACTGAAAGATTCACAGCAGAACAGTACCGGAGCGTCAAGGTATTTATGTGAGAATGTGCAGAAAATTTAGATTTTTTAAATCTAAAAAATTAACTGTGTGTGTTTAGGTCCCTACGCTGATCGTTTACGGCGACCAGGACACTCAGCTTGGAGAGGCGTCGCTCCGCAACCTGAGCAATCTGACGAATCACAAGGTGGCGGTAATGAAGGGAGCCGGACACCCGTGTTACCTTGATGACCCAGACACCTGGCACAAAGCGCTTACCGACTTCCTAGAGACTCTGTGAGGCTCTTCGCTCAGTTTCAAGCAAAGAAATTCCCAACTAACATGCAAAGGACTGAAAGGAGCCAAACTAACAAATCACTCACAAGACATTCCTCATGCACTACAAAACTACAATTGTAAATCAAAGGTTTTGATGTTCAATATATTTAGAAAGTCAGAAGTGTGATATCTCTACTTTAGCGGTTAATAGTCTGACCAAATCAATGTCCATTAATTACGTGGATGAACTGCTTTCATACAAGTAGGAAAAAGAAAAAAAAAATTCAGATTACATAATTTACACATTAAGCAGTACATAATAAGCCCAACAGAATAAACCTTCATGGAGGCAAATAAGGTGATGAACAAAAACATCTGGAATGACGTACACAACTGACATGTTTTACACATTCAAGTAATGCCCTGTTGTAATGTTCACAGGAGGGCATTACTGCCCTCTTGTGGACTGCATCAGTAACTGTAGGAAAGCTTTAACACCTGAACCTGTTTGTAACTAAATACCAGGATGCACATCTATTAACAACCTTGAGAGATAAAATTAACTCATATAAAGTTTGTAATTAATTAGTTTTAGTATTTGATATACTAGCAGGACGGTTTCACTGTTGACCGGAAAACAGACCAAACCAAGCTGTAGGTTTGGTTCTGGTCATTTGACCCCAGTTTCTGTTTCCATCCTCAAATTATGTTCTATTTACTTATGTGGGCTCTTACTGTTTCACTTTGGATCACACCTGAAACTGAGGCAATGTAAAGAATATCTTACCAGATTTATGGAGACAAAAGACTGAATTGTTGCTTTATGACACAAAGTTATGTTTTTAGATTTAAGTAAACTTTGCATTTAATTTGGAAACTGAAGTCCAATTTGGTACAAACTGAAGATGCACATCATCCAAGTTTCTGGAGATCCTCTGTGACGCTTTAGGAATCCCGCTGCTGGTTTTGGTTCTCTGTAAGGAAAATACCTGGACATTTCAGAGCACAACATTCATGCCTATTTTAATTTCCTGCAGGATTTGACACCTGTCCACACTACCAAAAATACCAATACTGAATACTTAATGGCCATGTTATCGCTGTTGTTGATTTGACAGCAAACATGTAATTTAAAGGTTCCTTGATTTCACCTGAATAAAATGATTACGTCATCAACAACCTGGATACAGATTGTCTAATGCATCTGTATCCATAAAGCTGTTTACAGGTTCTGAATATTGATAATAAACACACCACACAGTTAGATGAAGTGAAAAATATGAACATTATTTAATAACTGATTCTCTGTAATAAACAATTTGAAAATATTTTACAAGGAGTCACAGACACAATATTTTACAAATTTTGCCCTCTTCTTTTTGTTTCATTATTTTTTTTTCTTTTAAGCTTCATCTGTACAAAAGAATGGAGCCACATGGACCAGTGCCCAAAAGAGAAGGAGCTAAATCTTCCACACGCAACAACATTCACGCTCACACACACGTACAATAAGTAAAACAAAAACAGAACCAAAAAAAAAAAGAAGAGAAAACCATTTCGACATCAGATCTCAAACTTATCAACAGTGCTGTTTTCCTATATAGAATTGTTTAAACGTCACTTTAACTTTAACTTTGATTTAACTCTTTTTTTTCTTTTTCTCTAAATGTTGCTGTTTTTTCACACTCTTTGTCAAACATGGTCACATAGCACCAGACTAGAGACTACAGAATCACATACGCACGTCTTTCCCACAGAGACGCACCAACACAGAGGCCGCGAGGGTCGCGGGGGGGACGCTCTTTATGAAAACATTGCTTGATGTCTTAAAGCTGATCCCTCCCTCTCATCCCCAAGCTGGTCCAATTTGATATATATATATATTTTATTTTTTTTATTTATTTTTTTGTTGTTATTTTTCTGTTTTTGGCAAAAGGAAATCTGTCAAATCAGAGAAATCAGATGTTTCCAGTCAGGATTTACGCAAAGATGAAGCTGCAGGATTCGTCCGTGTCTCTCAGTTTGACAGGCCGTGCTGCTCTGTGGAGACCCACTCCCTGAGCTCCTGACGTCACACCCACACACAGAAACAGGGCTCCTACGCAATCTTCAAATAAATAAATAAATAATGTAATTTCCCCAATCTATGATAAGAAATTGAAGTAATTATTCCATAAATTAAAGTTCTGGATTCCCGTGAAGCTACTAAACATCTCAACTGTTTAAGTAAAATGAACATTGTTCCTTTACTCTATGAACTACTGACAACATGTCTCTGATATTCCAAGCACAATGTTAGTATTTATTTTTAGAAAATGGTCAAAACATGGAAAAAGACGCAGTGCTTTCAGACTTCAAATAATGCAAAAAATAAAACAAGTCCATGTTCATTTGGAAACAACATACTAATGTTTTTACTCAGGAAGAGTTTAGAAATCAACATCTGGTGGAATAACCAGGAGGTTTTCAATGGGGTCAGTGCATTTTTTCCAGAGCTGTATTTCTAAAGCTGCTATTGACATAATGTTTGCACCACATGTCAGTAAGAGTCCAAATAATCCACTTTAACGTCACTCGTTCCAGTAAAATTACATATTTACTGAGAAAAATGCATTTAGCGCTTATTTTTTAAATCTTAAGTCTTTCTTTTGCTACATCTCAGCATGAGTTATTTGCGGTAACATTTTATTTGAAGGGCTGTGTATGTCATAAGCATGACATAACATCTGTTATGAACATGAAGAAGTCTATTAATGGTTATTACTGTTGTCATGAAGTGTCATTGGGTAAATAATGTCACTTTTAATGCAAAGTGGGACTGAAAGTTGGATTGAAAATCCAACTTTGCGTTTAAAGTGTTACTATTCACTGAATGACACTTCATGACAGCAGTCATAACCATTCAAAAAGACTCCTTCATGTTCGTGACATATGTTATATAATTATGACAATATTATGTCAGTCTTATGCACAGCCCTTTAAATAAAGTGTTACCGTATTCATTCATTTTGACTCATGATTTTTAATTTTGTGTTACATATAAAGGCACAGTTAGTCATGGATAAAAGGTTTGTAGACCTCATGAAACTCATCTGCTATAAATCAAGACATTATAGATCAGAATCGGCTTTGAAGACTCTGGACTTAGCACAGGATGATTTAGTCCTGATCAAGCAACTCTTAAATGCCTTTTACTGTAGCAATGAATCATAATTCAGATGATGATTTGGGTAATTTGAAGTATGGGTTTTGTTCTTTAATGTGGCAAAAATTACAAACAGGAAAAATATGAAAGTTTTGAGATCGGTAGGAACCCTGCAAAAAACACCTATGGACTGACGTCCCTGTCTTCCGTCCGCCCACCGGTTCAGCGTCTCCCAACTGGGCACAAATAAGTGTCATTACCACGTCTGCTTACAGGTGTGTGTGCACAATGTCTCAGTGCAGGTGCACAAAGTGTAGGTTTTCATATTTAGTGTACAGATCCTGGAAAAGAGGGGAAGTAGCAGGGGGTACATTTCCACAGGCACGTGTTTAGCGTTCATTTACAGACAGTGGAAATAAGGAATTACAGACAGAGTTAATGGCACAGGACAGAGACAAAACAGATGCCAGGAAAGTAAAACTGCATCAGGCATCAAAAGACGCCAAAAGAGTCCAATTGATAAAACTCTTTAGCTTTAAATTTAGCTCCTTTAACAGTCTCTCTTGTTTTTTGTCTCAGGTTTACCAGCAGCTGAGCTCCAGTTACTGTGCCAGCATGATTTGTCACATCAAATAGTACCGACTGTACAGAGTGTGTGGTGACAGTTCAAACTGTTGCATGACTCATTCTCACCTGAGCTGCACAGTGAGATCTGAGTGGGTGTGAACATCCAAGGTCAGAGGCTTTTAAAACGGGAAATCTCTCACCCGCGCTCAAGCATTTTTAATGCACACATGCATCGATCAACTATTCATTAGGAGAGAAAAATAAGTAAAACAAATCAGAGCTCAGTGCACCTTAATGCATAACACTAAGAAAAGTCTGTGGAGGGAGTATTTCAGGATCGGTCAGGAATCCATGAGAAACGGGGAATCAAAGCTCCTCACTGAGTAACACTAAGGCATTTAAAACGGCTTTGATAACTTTTGCATTCGGACAGAAAACACTAAAACTACACATTCTTCACCTCCTCAACATCAACATTTAAATAGAGCGGCACCTATCACTTCTGGTCAGAAGTTTACATGCACACAATCTGTATATATCCCACGGATTTAATAAATATTTTAGGTTTTTTGCTTTGCTGGAAACTTTTCAAACATTTTAGTAAACGTTGGATATTTTCTAGTTCTAGCTCCTTCCATTCCTGGTTGGGTATTTGACCTTTCCTCTTGGCAGGATTGGTAGAGCTCATTATAAACTGTTGGTTTCCTGGCACAGACCCATGTTTTATGCATAGATCACACATTTTGATGTCAATGCCATTTCAGAAACTTATTGTTTGCCAGCAGCTTTGTCTATTGAAAATTTGGTTCTGATTGGGATTTTTGACTTGTTGGAACTTCCGTCTATTTCAAATTTCTCAGACACGTAGTTGTTGATTTCTACTGAAGTCGAGTAATTTGGAGGAAGTCCCTCTTCACACACTCACCAAATCCTGCAGAGTTTTTGTTACTTGGTTACTTGTTATTTGAGAGTATTTGTAGAAAATTGAATTACTGTTTATTCAAAATCACAGAGGTGATATGTAATTATTCTAAGAATGTCGGGCTGAATGATATGGCTGAAAAAACACATCACAATGTAAGAGTTCAGTGAAATTCCATCAGATGTATTATCTATTGATACTGATCACGTGTTTATTACGACTTATATCCTCATTGATTCATTGTCCAGCCCTATAAGAATGGTTCAAATTTATCGATACCAAATCTGATATGCAGAGGAAGCTCTGTGAATTCATGTAAACTCACGACCGGAGTAATAGGTGGATCTTTTAGTTTATTTCTCCACCACAACACTAGATTTTGTCTGCCTGCACACAGAAACAGTAAGAAACAGCTGTTCTCGCTCAAATGTCAGCCCCACCTCCCTCTCACCCAACCGAAGATCCTTTCGAGGGCTTTTAAAACAAACGCACATACGCACACGTCCACAAACACACACAAACCAGGCAGAACGATAGCAGTCAGGTGGCCCTAAGAACACACTATGGCCAGTTAACTCGCTGTATATCAATAGTGTATCATAGCTCTATACATGGTTTTGTAAAGGAACTGTATAGTAATCCCCGTGAGACGGCGGGCCGGAGGCTCTGGAGCGGGGGAAGGACGTTAAGCGGAGCCGGTCAGCGCGGCGGCTCAGTGTAAAGCTACTTCTACAGCGTCAGCCGACAGATTCAGTCTCCTGCAGCGTCCCAAGCCTCAAACATGGCCGCTTTATAAAGGTACTATACAGTAGCTTCACTCTTATACAGCCAAAACAAAGTGCGTAAAGGCACTATGAAACAGCTCCTAAACGCGGGAGTCTGAAAGAAAAAAAATAATTATTATAAAGAAAATCCATACATTGCAATGGCTAAAGGACAGACTGTGACTACTACTGTATGTGATCACCATATTTAGTGGCCCCTCCTGCGCTATAGATGGAAAATAAAAATAAGCCCCTATCCCCCAGCAGCGGATGGTTTTAAAGATTAAACAGTGTCAGTCAAAGGTAAAATTAGACATGATTGGCCCGTCTTAAAGAAAGGCTTTGATTTTGACACGAGTAAACCACATACACACGACAACGGTGATTCGGAGCGTTGGTGAAGTACTTTTTCTTTAAGAGGTGAGTTTTTTTTTTCTTCTTCTTCTTCTTCTTTTTTTCCGAGGTCAGAATGGTTCGATTGATCGTAAAAGAGAGTAATACCACACGACATCAACAATGTTCCAGCAGCAACTGAATGCTGATTCAGATTTTACAGCCTGGGGGCCTGCGAGCCAGAAAGCACTAGCACTGATAAACTATTATAAACACTTCAAGAACAGCGTGGCATTCTATCGTGTAATTACAACAATGCCCCCCAGTGGACCGCTTTTGTGTCTTTTTTTTATATATAAAAGAAAAACAATGATCTGCTAATTAGAGCTGCACAAAATGAGTCAGGATTCAGCTGCTGCAAATCTAAATCTGGTTTCCTTTTTGTGTTTTTGGCTACAAAAATAAGACCACGTGAAAGTATATCTCATTTTGGCAAGTAGATATAGCGCATTTAGGTTAACACTTAACTTTCTTTTCAAATTAAATCCTAAGCGTACGGCATGTTTGGAATACTCATCACTTCAGCAGGTAATACTTGACATTTTTGAATACTTGTTGAGTTTTTTCTTCTTTTTTCTTGTTATCGTCTATGGTGGAATAGCTGGCTGGATGGTCCGCAGCCTTACGAGAGGCAGATGGTGAGACTCTGAGATGAAGGAGAAGAAGAAGTCCGGCCGTCGGAGGAGGAGAGCGGACAGTCAGCCTCAAATCTCCAGTCTGTATCAGGATCTCTCTCTTATCTAGATGAAGGTGGTATTTGGAGAACAAGGGGGTTGTTTTCTCTTTTCTGGGGTGCTTTGACGGTCCTGCACCGACAGCTTGGCTTGGTCGGGATGAGGACACAAACGTCCAGCGTCTGAGCTGGACAGCGCCGCACTCGGGGCTTCCAGCTGACCGCGACGGGAGGTCCGGCAATTAACTATGACTAAAACAACATCAGGGCACAGGTATGGAGGCGAAGAGTCGGGAGGGACGGAGGGTTCTTTTAAGGGAAGCGAGCGAGGATGAGGAGAATGAAGTTAATGTAACAGAGAGTGGTGATGGGGGCTGAGAGCTGGATAAAGCAGCAGCAGCTGAATGAGCAGGAGGGTGTAGAAAGGCGGACGGAAGGAGTGACCTCTTCCACAGTCTGACGTGTTCTCCTGCAAAACGACAAAATATATCAGACCTACACATCTCTTTTTACTCCAAAGTAGTTCCTGATTGTAGCAGAAATGACCTTCAGATACAAATCTCAAATACCTGAAATGCTGAGTGAGCACCAAAACCTTCAGAGAAAAGCCGCAGCTAATTTTGCATCTACATCAACATTTGCAAAGTCAGACTCACAGGTGATGAGTGTGACCTGCGAGCATCTTTTAGTTAGCAAAACAAGCCATTATTGATTTCCTGATGTCCCACAAAGACTGACGAATATTAAACTGAACTATAATCAATGTGGTTACTAAAAACCAGAACTGGTGAAGATCTAAAACTTTAAATAAACATTGTCGACGCCAAGATCAAATTCTTCACTGTGATTCTCTTAATGAGACGTGGAAATTCATCTCTGCTTCTCTTACTGTCCTCGTCTTGTTTATCAGAGGACGCTGAGATGCTATAAACTTCCTCATTAGGTTTTTTTGTCTTCCAGTTTTAAAGAGAGAAATAGAAAAATGGATTGTGTCATATTTTCACCCAAAGGAAACAAGAAGCGATAGCGTACGAATCAAAGTGATCAATCAATGAAAAGATGCTTTGGAATCATTTTGTTGAATTTATTGAGGTTATTTATTGTCTTTAATGTTGATCTTTTTTTTCCCCTGCTAACACATATAGTGGATTTGCTGTTCAGTGTTCACATATTTCTCTCCAGAGCTCTTCCTAAATATTAGGAAAAAATGCAGCTATATAGCTGAAATATGACCTACATCTTTATTTTCCATTTCCGATAAGGAAGGCTGTAATTTTAGTTTCTGCAATAAAGCTTTTCTCTGTGTGTATTAATGGTTATTAAGGTATATTTGGTGCTAGAACTGTCACTAGACAGTTGTAAATGTTTTAGAGGGGATTTCAAGAAATTGCTGAATGTAATTATTGGGTGCTGAAACTCTGTGAAACTCCAGTGTTCTCGAATTAAAGGTATCAAATTTTATACTACTTTTTACATTACTGCAACACAAAGTGAGCATAAAGGCTTTATGAATAATCTTTGCTATAGGAGAAAATATGTAAGCCAAAGTTTTAGTGCTGTAGTTCTACATCACTTTCATTTTCCTAAGTGCTGACAAGTTTATTTAAACATATTTAACGTATCCTACGTATTCCTTTCCCTCAGGAAACTCTTTGCTGTTATGCGTAAAGTAACTTTGTCTATTCCTTCGAAGAAAATGACATTAAAACATGTTTTCAAGTTAAATGTGTGGTAACAGTCTGACACATGCAGACAAGAAAACATCCAGTTTAAAAATAAATGGTGCAAACAAAACTCAGCTTTATGGGAAAATCTTTAATGTTTCTCTTTACTCTACCAGCAGCCCTGTGTGTGTTAGGATTTTTATCAAGGTACGCACCTCCTGGATTATCTAATCCCTGATGGATTGCACCTCAATTCCCCTCACTTACGTCATTAGTAAATTTTAAAAATACATTTTTCAAATTTATTGTTACATTCTCTGTCTGATTAAACCAGAAAAGTCGGTGGTCTTCATTCACACAACAGAACATAAAATAAAATATACTCAATTACATGTCATGAACTTCATCTTAAATATCTTTTTACATTTAGGTTGTCAACTGAGCCTATAATAACAGGATTTTATGGTTGTCTGAAACCTGTAAAAACAGGTTTTGATGATAAAATAAGGTTATTGCTTTAATGATTGCTCATATTCTGGAATTATGACACATTTTAAGGCACTATTTTCAGGTGCGGATTAATACACATTTGGGACAATAAAAACATTTCCACAGCAGGAGACTGCATGCTATCTTCAGCCAATTTATGCTAGTGTGTTGACAAATTATTACATCAATATATTTTTATTACAAAGTAATAGTATAAAGCTGTATATCATTACCTTTCTAAAATAAGTTTTTGCCAAAACAGAAAGATAGATAGGTGGTAATTTCTTTTTGGGACAAAATCACTTTGGCAAAAAATGATTTGTGCCATTATCTTAGGAAAGTGACAATCTTGAAAATAATTGAATTTTCAATGATTTCCAACTGTGTTTTTGTCTGGTTGTCCCTGAACAAGTGCAGTAAAACCAGCTGACTGAATACATCTCAATAGCTGCCGAAATTAATGACATCTAAAACTCTTACAGCTGCGTTGCTGTCGAAGCAGGTGGAAGGTCCTTTTCGATACCGTGCAGTCGTCATTTCTTCACACGGATTTTCCTCCTTGACTGATTTATTACTCCATTAAGGAGCATTTAAAATATTCTAGGAATTAAGAACCCAACAGCGATGAGGAAGAGGCAGGTTTGTTACTCTGTCAGTAGCAGCTGTGTAAAAGCGGAAAGGATACACTCCTCCTTGTCTTGGGAAAGATCTTCTATCTCGCAGGAGCTGCATGGCAGCTTTTCTGCTACCACAAACAGCAAGTTGGTGTTGTTTATCCTTTTGGCATGAATCAGCCTGCAGTGAAAAAGACAGCTTTGTCAACAACCTCCCTCTGCTTGCTTGCATCTCGCGCTCATTTGCTAATGGATCAGCAAGATTTATGAGACAGCCTTACAAGGCTCATTTAGCCAATAATGTGACCATTTCGTTTAAAAACGACGCAGGTTTGCAGTCTGCAGCGCTTTTCAGGCTGCTTGCTAACCGTGCCTCAGTCTTTTCACATGATTTGCGTAAAAGGACACATGCATGACCTGGAACAGTTTCCGCAGTCTTGGAGGATGTTGTAGGAGTTGCTGAGGTTACTGAAGTAGTACTGGGTTTGGATCATCACGCAGCTCCTCTCTTTTGACTCTATTACTTCTGCTCCCACTTCCTCTGCAACGTCACCAGAACAACAGCGTTCAGAAACACGTTGGTCACCCGAGGTTCTGCTCATATCCAATGATGGCGAATTTAAAACGCAGCTCACACTCACCTGTGACAAACCAGCTGTGGTAAGCTAAACCGTATAAAAGCTGTTGGAACAAGGACCTGTTGAACAAGAGATGCAATTAAGAACATGGAAAACCAGAAACAGGTTAGAGGAAAATTATATAGAGTTATGTTTTTAGATATTTTGTCAAACCCATAAAATACAGCACAGAGACATTAATTCAAGTTGACAGAGCTGGAGGGAGAACTGTTTTTCATACAGTTCATTAACATAGTTTTTAGTTTGCAAAAAGCGGCACTTTTGATTTTCTTATCTCCCAAACAGACTGTCAAATATCAAACTAAACTATAATCAATACTAAGAACCAGAATTGGGTAGTAACAAGTTACATTGAGTTTTTGTAAAAAATTTACTTTTCAGAGTACTTTTACAACATTGGGCTTTTTACTCTTGAGTAAAATTTCTGGTTTCTCAGTAACGTCACTGAATTAAGAACAAGTTTGTTTTAACCAAATATTCACTCGACTCAGACACTCATCTGCAATTTTTGTTAAAGTTTCATAAGTTTTATACTGAAATAAATTGATTTGGAAATCTGCATGACTTTGTTATTTTGTAATTATAGTTATTTACGTGAATTATTTTTATCTTTAAAATACCAACATTTCCACATATGTTTATATTTTGATCATATTCTGCTGATGTAATTTTTAAATATTAAATGACTGATATTATAATTAGTTACTCAGTACTTGAGTCGTCTTTTTAGTAAATATTTTCACTTTTACTTGAGTAAAAATATGTTGAAGTAGTTCTAGTCTTACTTGGGTAAAATCTTTGGATTCTCTGCTCACACCAATATAAACTACCGATAATAGACACCATAGTCCAATAGAGTTGAAATAATTGTCAAAGGAGAATATTCTGTAGTATTTATTGGGACAGTAATAAAAAGGATAGTAAAATTATTTAAACTCCATTGCAGTCTTTTTGTATTTGGGACTGTATGTCACTGTAGTCCAGTGCTTCTCAATTATTTTCCGTTACGTCCCCCCTAGCAAGAAGAAAACTATTTGCGCGCCCCACTCCCCACCGTGACTATCCATCTCTGCATAACATTTTTTCCTTATTAACATTAAAGAAAAAAAGAAAGACATATGGTCAAACTTACAAAGAATAACTTTATTAAATTGTGTTTTAAGTCTGCAACAGAAAAGATTTTAAGTGCATCAATGCCTGAAATAAAAAATAAATAAATCCATGTCTACTGCTGCAGGCAGTATCAGCTCCTCTGCTATGGTGTGGGGCTTTTTGCACTGCGCAATTTGGTACGCCACCTTATATGATGCTAGCAGCGCTCGATGGTTTACTGAAGTAGCCTTCACAAAGCGGGATGACTGTTGGCAATATTCAGCACGTTTTCGCTGAAAAAACTCTAGCGGCTTATCGGCGTGATTGGGATGTAACGTATTTAAGTGACGCGCTAATTATGTGGCTTCATGCTGTCCGCTGCGAGCATTTTTAGACACAGCAAACACACCGGTCTTTCCTCTTCTCCAACTGTAGTCACAGTGAAGCCAAGCGCTAAATACGCTTCGTCGTATTTCCTCTTCTTAGCTTTCGGTTGACTTTCTGTTGTCTCATTATCTTTGTCTCTCTCCGCTTTTCTTTTCATCCCTGTGAAAAACTTTTTCATGTTGGGGGTTGTTGAATAACGGAGGCCATAGACAGAACGCAGTCGGAGCTTTTTGTTGCCGTAACACTGCTAACCAAGGGAAACCTGATGTCGTGTAAGTCGTAAAATGTTGCACTGTCGCAAACGTGACAGAAGTAACAATGAGAGCGCCACTGCCGCCTACTGTGCGCAATTACACTTTATACTAGTACGGCCAAAAAAAAAGCCTGTTCCCCAGGATCACACGCGCCCCCCAAAGGGGGCGCGCCCCACTATTTGAGAAGCACTGCTGTAGTCCAAGCATTTACACAAATTTGCAAAATAACTACTTAATTATTACTGACATCAGTGACATTATTTTTAAAGATATTGATACTTGTTGCTGCTATTGGAGCTACCACAGAAAATCAAAGCGCAAAGGTAAAAATCCCAGCCTTATGTTAATGTTTTGTAAATATTACCATGTATAGTTCAAGACTGATAAGATAACTCAGTTTTTTTTTTATGATGACAAATTAAATGGCCGATCACCACTAGAGATCACAGTCCCTTAACATTTGAAGCGGGCTACTGCCAAAGCTATTACATCTAAACAGGAAGTTTCCCCAACCGTTTACCAATCTTTAAGAGCTTTCTGTGCCTCCATAATCTTTTATTATTTGATGAAGAAAGATGGTTTTGTTCTGGGGACTGAAGTGAAGCCTGTGAGAACTTGCTATTACATGTACAGTAAGTATTGCTTTTCATCTCTACAGGTCATAAATATTGTATTTCAATGCTCAAAAGTATATCCAGTGTAGAAAAAAACATATTAAAAATATTTCCTTCGTCCTCTCTTGACAATAACTGGAGTTATCCTGCAGTAAAAAATGCAGTGGATCTTTGAAAACACCAACAACTTTGACTCCAGATATAGCTAATAGCAAAATATTCACTTTATATGCAAAGTTCAAGGAGCGAAGTGCTTCAAATCTTACCATGCAGCAGCTGACGTCCACCATGCCAGGTTAACAAAGTCTGCAATCGTCGGCTGCAGACAAAGAACATTTACTTATTTCTATTTCTTCCTGCTAAACGGGTCAGTATATTTTTATTTGCAGCTGCCTCTTACATATTTATCTTTCTAAAGTTACTACGTATATTTTGTTTTTTGACATAAAGTAGCATTAAATAAAATGAAAGAAAAAACTGGGCCGTTTTAGGACCACTCAATTACTTTTCTGTGATTTAACAAAGGGAAATTATTAGTGAAGCTGAAGACAAAAAAATAGTTAATTGCCAGAAGAAAAAAAATGTTTTGAGGGAAAGTTGTTAAGTAATTCCATAATTTTGTTGGGATATTGGAAAAGTTACTCAGGATCTTGAATACTTTTGCTGGATCACATAAAAATAACTCAAAAACCTTCAAAGCTTTAGCAAAATGAACTCTTGAAACGCTCTCCAGCATTTTGAAAAATCCTTTCAAAATGCTGGAGCGTTTCAAGAGCTTTTCCTAAAAAACCTTTGGAAAAGTAAGGAAATATCCCTATGAACCTTGGAGGTTTTTACATTTGTTTTGTGGGATGTTGCAAAAAAAAAAAAACTATCAGTGTTGCTTAACTTTACTGGAATCTTAAGAAACAAACTTGGATTTTGTAAAAGTACCTAAAATGTTTGGAGTCGTGTCCTTACCACAAACACTCCTCGCCTTGCTGCTGCAGCTTCACCGTTTTGTATTGGTTCACACACAGACTGATAATCAAACGACTGCTTGCGCTTGTAGAAGGAGTTGTTGTACAGAGCGTACATCAAGTTTGGGTCAACGACACCGAGAAACTTGCCCACCTGCAAGGATACAAAGCTCTGCTCAGCACTTGGTGAAGATTACAGCAAATCTGTGATGTTGGGAAATTAAATCTTATTTTTAATTAAACCTCGCTCCAGTCATCCTTCTGATTTGACATGATTAGGAAGCCGCCGTCATCAATTAAATAGCACAGGAGATCCTGCACAAAGACACACAGCAACAGGAGTTTGAAGATTATTCAGGTGAGAACAGAACATTAAAATACATCATTTAAAATTGTACAGATAGTGTAAAAACTCACATCACTATTAGCTTCACAGTCCATCTCACAACCTCTGTTTGGTCCACACTGTCATGGAGGAAAACACAATATGGTGCAAGAATTGAAAGTTATGATAATAATTATTTTTCCATTAAATTAACATTTAAAACATAATAATTTATACCGTATTTGAGCCTTGACGGCTGTCTGTATGGTTGCTGGCAAGAATCTTGAATTTATCGGTCCATGCTTCCAGGTCTAACTTTACTCCAAGAACTGAGATAAAACGGAGTAATCAAAGCATTAAAAATTATATTTAATGCATAAAATAACAGAAGAGAAGTCACACACTTTGCCTTTATCTTGATCTGAACCATTTTTCCTACCAGCTGTAATGAGGATTTCCTGTTTGCTCACCTGCAGGTTTCACCATCTTCCCACCTATTGTGATATCCAGAGCCATGCTGACCAAAATTCCCACTGTGTCGTTTTCTGGGTTCAACAGGTCAGCCCCAGCTGCGTGAGACGCACACACACACACACACACACAAAAACAAGACACATGAAGGGCGTCAGAGGTTCAAGCTGTGGTTTACTTGTGCAACCAAAGAGGATCATTCACCTGATCGATACGGTGCTGTGAAGATGTAACCCTTGTTGTCAAGGCTACGGCGGTAATAGCTGGCATTAAACGGCTCTGGATCTTCCTCCCAGGTTTCTGCAGCTCTAAGATTTAAAAAGTAGCAAATATTTGCTGTTCATGCTCCCTCCTCAACCTTATGTAACATCCTAACTTATCATCCAAAAATAGATCCGAGTGAAAAATGTAAGATCTAACGAAACAGCTGCAGTCAAGACACACAGCAGTGATGAAATCTGCTCTTACTTGTTTGGAAAGACTCTTGTTATGCCTCCATCTGTTGCAGCAAACACAGCCAGGAAGCCGTATCTAAATGTCAGGAGTGAGGAGAAACAAACAGGCAGGACTCAGATCTGCATCTTCCCCACTGGAGATGTTTGAGAATAAACTTAGTGTTACTCACGTATTTAAGTCTTTATTCTTCCACACTTTATCGACCAGCTGCCGGATGATGCCAGTGTCCAGAATCAGATTGTGAAGGAGCAAACTGTCACCTGGATAAAAATTTAAGACACAGAGAGGATGGTGGAGTAGTACTCAGACTGAAACAAATTTTATTACTACCTTGTCTTGCTTTTGTAGTCAAAGCAACATTAGCTACACGAGTTTCTGTGTATGTAGAAAGAATAAAGTTACTTTCATTTTGTGTGCAACAAAAATAAAAAGTCCAGCAAAACATTTGTTAACTTCAGAAACAGAGCTGCGTTCAGGGTTTGATTGTAAAATGGGCAACGCTGAACAATTTCACAACCATTACTCAAAGATGAATCTGTGATGCATTTGTTAGAGACTATTTTCAGCTGTAGATTAAAACATTTAAAGCGCTGCAGCATTTCTGGCAGCAGGATGGTGGATGTGGGATTTACTCAAAATAAACTCAACAAAAAGGGGAAAGAAACACAAGGACAGGATACTTTATCAGTGTAAAATAAGGAGCAGACAGGAACTGCTGCAGAATGTTGCAATTAGATTATGTGGGCATCATTTATTTTCTTAACCAGATTAATTTAGAGATTTTTTCCTCCAATATGCAAGGCTCCAGACTAATGTTTTTGCACTGGTTGTTCTGGTAGACCTAACAGAAATACATAATATTTTTGTTATTTCATGTTCATTTTGACAGAAAAGTAGTTTTGCAGGCGACATTGATTAGCAGTAGTCGTAGTAATTATTATTATTATTTTTTGTTTCTGCTTCTCCACAATAGCATGTTCTGCCTGCATCTAATTATAACTTGTTCATGTCTGGAAAAAGTTTGTCTAAAGAATTAGAGCTTATGTTGCATTCAGAAAAAATCTGAAGTCAGAAAGATGATCTTCTAAATGTGTGTATCTTCAGTGTATTCTGTCTGAATGTGCTATTATAATCAGTGTAAAGCGACTCCTTTAGAAGTGTTTTCTGCGTCAATTTAACTGCTGGAAAAAATTACAAAGAGTCCAACAACTGAATCAGTAAAATTAATTTACTAAATGAAACATACAGCTCTGGAAAAACTTAAGAGACCACTTAAAATGATCAGTTTATCAAACTTTATAAACATATGTTTGAGTGAAATTAAATCATTCTAAAAATGACTGACAACATGTCTCTGAAATTACAAGCAAAAATGTTCTATTTATTTGCAGAAAATGACAAATAGTCAAAATAATGAAAAAGATGCAGAGCTGTCAGGCCTCAAATAATGCAAAGAAAACAAGTTCATATTCATTTAGAAACAACAAATCGAATGTTTTAACTCGGTTCAGAAATCAATATTTGGTGGAATAACCAGGAGGTTTTCAGTGCAGTGGCCTCCTAGTTTTTTACAGAGCTGTATAGGAGGAGTGGGTCGCAGTCACAGACACAAATCACACGTTGCTCAGCATTTAAACCTTTTCAAGTCATATTTTTTTGACAACTTTAGAGCTTATTTTGGAAACTTGACACAGGTTATTTCTGAGCTCAACTTCTGAGATGTTTCTTTAGATACAATATGGCTGCCTGACTGCGTCAGGCAATAAAATGTGTTAATGTTTAGGTATTAACCTGGAGCACAAACATGATGACTATGGTGTAGCTGTTTCACTGGACAGACAAACCAAAGCATTATGATGACAATACCCAGCAAAACTAATGTAGCATTAGCTACAGCTGGGCTGTTATATGTACTTCTGTTTCAAAAAGGCATCAAATGTTGGGAAACCAATAAGAAAACAGTTGGTTTTGACAGATATATATTTGCTTGTGCAACCAAATTGCTTGAACTCTGGAGTCTAGACTTGTAATGAGAATAAAACTTACATTGCTTGGAGTCTGGCGTTACCTTCTCCATCAGGGCAATGAAGTTTAGCAGGAACTCGGTGTTGTTGTTGGAAAGTTCGAGATCATTGCAGTACTCCCTGAGAAAAAGGCAAAGGATTCAAATGTGGCAAAGTGAAAGAAAGCAGCAAATAAAAAGCAACAATGTTGTCATTGCCATCAACACTGACTCTCTTAGATGTTTCTCATTGAAAGACGCAAAACAGGGAGGGGGAAGCATGAGTCCACACTCATGTTGAGTGTTGCTAAAGTGAGTGGCATGCTCAGGTTCACAAAAATACTTCCACAAAGGACAGGACAGTGAGGCAAAGCATGAGAATAACTAAACTTAGTTTGGACCTTTTTTAAATGTGGGTTTTGGAGGAGAGGTTATGAGAAGCTTGTATTTTATTTTCTCAGGCTGGAGAAACAGGAAGGGGTTCAGTCGCGATGAAAAGCCAGTCTGGGAAACGCTCCAAAAAGTTTTAAAACTGTTTACTCGACTACTTTTCTTTTAAATTAGAAGCTAATTTACCTAGTAAACAATCTAACTTCATTGAAGATCAGCTTGTTCTGCCATCATTTATCTGTAATGATCCAGGTAAAACTTTACTAAAAATTAACTGTAAAAAAAGAGTCTCTTTAAACAAATGATATAGCGCATTAATGATACAGCAAGCAAGAATTTGTTTCTTCTCTTAACCACAATTCAATCTAAATCTAAATCAATATATTTTGATTGAACATTGACATGAAATAAGACAATAACTATAATGAACTGAACAGGAATAATTACTGATCTGTCCTCCACTGAATGAAACATGGAGCTCGAGTGAAATATTTAAAGTCTATATGGTAACTGTAGACTTACCATTCTTTTACAAATTTAGGCTAAATAGCTAACTCTATTTTTTAAGTAATTAAAAAGAAATTTAAGATATATATAGTTGGACAAAAATGGTTTCTATTGGGCAATAAATGATGAACAAAATGTATTAATTGTGGCTAAAGTCTACAAAACAGGAAGTAAATAAATATATAAGAAATAGTGGTTGATTAATCCCAGTGGCCAGCACATATACTTTTAAATGTTTCTTCAATTATAGTAGATTATCAACAAAATCAGTGTGAGGCAAACTACACTGGATTAAAGAGATCAGAAAAAATATGTTATGCTAGTTACTTTAATTCTCTTTCTCAACAGTAGGGGTCACTGCTGATTTCTCTGACTTACATAAGTAATAACAGCAGAAGAAGAAGAACCTCAACTGAATTTCAGACGTCCCTAGCTTTAATTTTTCCTTCAAACAGATTGGATTTTAGTGATTCAAACATTAAATTAACGTATCTGCTCTGCTCAAAGCTGTTTCAATTGTTTTTATACCAGATTATTTTACAGTCATTCTGACTAGATATGCCAGATTCATAAACTCTCCATTAGATCCCACTTCAAAAACTCCAAACTCATCAAAAAAAATGTAGAAGGGTTTTTTCAAACAGAGAAGAACACATGCATTTTTCCCCTTTTTGGTAAAAGCAAATATATTTGCTTCATAAAAATAGTCTTCCCTGAACAGAATCACAACCTAAAGGCTTCAGATTGTGTTTTTGCAATGCAAACATGCAGGATCACACAACAGCACCATGCAAACATCCAACACGTTTTTCTAGTAAATCTTTCAAGAATTTAAAAGTGTGGAACAAGTGTGACAGTAATTTATGATCAAATTCAAAACTTATAGGCTCCACTACACACATAACAATAAAGACGAACTAACAAATATAAAAACTACATAAAGTGACTGAAACACGATGAAAAACTGATGACCATCAACGACAGCAAACATTCATACAAAGGGCTACCTGGGAGCAATGAATACATGTCCTTCAGACTCAAAACTGTTTGGCAGCAGAGATTCAAAATCTGCAACAGAAAGGGGAGATTATCCAGGAAGAGCAGTGGGCAGAGCAGCAGGGAGCACACTGGGTAAACAGCAGCTGTCTTCAGAGGTGCAGGGACGCAGAAGGGACTTTACCATAGCAACAGTGAGGTATCATGGGAACACCAGCGTTAGCCAATATGGTGCCTAAAACACAACCTGACTCGATGCATCGATACTTCCACAAGCACTCACATATTCTGTTTGACTTGTTGCTTTGCCAACAAAAACCCTTTTTTCTTTCTGATTAAGTTTCATTTCAGTCTGATTTATTTATTTATTTTCAGGCATCTGAGAACTGACTTTATCAGGCGTGATGTGTCAAGAAGCGAGTTCTCAGACAGATTGTGCATAATGAGTGCTTTTAGATCAGGCAGGCATCAACATGGCCAACTATTTGCAAGGGGGGAGGAGGTGGGTGAAGGTCCTAATGGAAGTGGTCACCCCTCAGACCGACGGGGGGAGAGGACTCAGAGAGACACTTAATCGGGGGAAATGCATCACATTGTGAAAGGCATGATGTGGGGCAACTTGGGTTGATCCATCTGGAACAAAACAGCAAAAAGAAATGCCACTGGATCCTCAGAAGAGTCCCATATTTCCTAATCGACTCAGAACCAGAAGAGAAATTTAACGCGTGCACAGAGGTAATGGAGTGCCCAGGTAGTTTTCCGCCCACAATGCCATGCACATCCGGGGTCAGGTTTACAGAGGAAGCAGTGGGCCGTGCCCCCGGCGGTCTGAGGGGTGAGGAGGGAGGGGGAACAAGCCGATGGAGACGAGGAGTACAGAGGGACAACATTTAGGAGTCAGGGGAGAAACCTGACAGCATGGGGAGACCTGAGAGGCCGGGAGGGAGCTCAGCCCTGTGGCGTTAGTCTGCACACTGCACTGTTTCCAGCTAGAGGCAGACAAACTACAGCAGCCAAGCTGTTACAAGTCTATCAAATTTGGTCAAAAGTACGTCTGTACCACGATGTCAATAGCTGCATTTCCATTGACAATAAAACTGTGCACGTCTAAATTACGAAAATAAATTTGCTAAATGGAAACACACCAGTTTTGAAAAACACAAAACTCAGTTTTTGTAAAACAGTATTTCGTAAAACTGCAATAAAAACACTCTTTTTTGCATCATAGGAGTCACGTGATTGACAGTCAGATGCTACTACTGGTGAAAACAACGAGGAAGACGACAGGAAGCCGTAGAAGGATGATGCTTGTCTTTTTCAGACAATGTGCGGGTTACAGCATCGCGCAGTTCATAAAATGTGTCATTTTAACATGTTGAATTCATAACTCTTCTGTAAACACTCAGACAACAATTTCCCCAAAACACCGCATAAGTAGCTCCAACGCCTGAATAAGACGTCGACGTCGTTAGCGCCATGACTAAATCACGATTATAGTCTGATGTAGCTGTTAAAATCCATCGCTGCTCTAATTTTTAATGGTAATTGCCTGAATTGTTGTGTAGTTTTAATTTAATTTCTTATCTAGCAGAAACACTGAATTAAAAAAATTGTGTTGTTTTGACTTTAGCTGAATAAAAACAAAGATTTGTGCACATTTGTAATGGAAACGCAGCTAATGAAACTTTATGACTTTATAATCTGAAGTTTCTTGTCTTAGAAAAATATGACAACGTTTTACAATTCTAAAAAATATGTCTGTTCACCTTCCAGGTTAAAAGACTCACACATGCATCTCTTTATGTTGGTCTAACTCATTACATTCCAATAAAAAACACTACAAATTTTAGCTACAATGTGACAAAATGTGGAAAAGTTCAGGAAGTATGCACAATTTTGCAAAGCAGTAAATAAATGTGTGATTGTGCAGATTTGACACGGAAAAAAATGCTATATTTAAATCTAATACCTGAACTCTAGTGTAAAATGAACTAGTTACACTGTAGAAAGAAGATGAAAAGAGAGAGACTGAAGTTAATTAGAGGGGAAAACAGAGCGATTATGGTGAGGTGAAAGAAACAGAGGCAGAGAAGCAACAGCTTCTCTGAAACTGTCTACGAAAGAAAAAGGGATTGATGTGGGAGCGGGGACAGAAGACAAATTTAAACAGAAAACATAAACGTCTATCATCCGCGGGTGCTGTTGCTTTGCTTTTCCCCCCAATATATATATCTATATATACAAATATAAATATATATATATAAGGTTCCTGGAGCAGCAGATGTGTAAGAGAGTGAGGCTGAGGACCGGAGGAGTCATTGTGGGATCTGAGCTGCAGCAAGAGGGTCAAGAGGAGAAGGGATTAACGAAGGAAGAGAGGAGGGGAAAAGGAAGAGAGAAAGGTTGGAAGGGCTGAAGGCATGGTTGGCAGGGACAAAGGCAAGCAGGCTGGGACAGGTGAGAGGAGGGAGGAGAGGGAGGTTTAGGACAAGGGGTGAGGTAAGGAAGCGGTAGGGATTAGGAAGTAAAGGTAGGGAATGTGGACCGATATGGAGTATACTTGCCCTTGGTGTATGAGACTGTGTGGATCCATCAGAGAAGGAGTGAGCAAGAAAAGAAACAGAGGATCGGGTAGGAAGGGAAAGGGGGGATCACAGACAATATTTTATTCAATAACTGTTTGAATAAAAATATTGTTTTCTTGAAAGAAAAGAAACCAATTCAAGTCAAACCAGACAACAGAGAGAAATAAATGAAGAACAAACATTCTTTCTGCAAGACCAACCAAAGAAAAACAAAAGACATCCTGGGCAAAGAAAGCCAGGAAAGGAAATGCACTTAACACAAATTGTGAGAAATAACCATGGCAGAACAAAAGAGAAAAAATAATAATAATTTAAAAACACCAGGAAAAGAGAGGAGAATCAGGGTCTGGACAAAGAAAGAATGAAAGACACAAAATGTGTCCCAAATCAGACCCAGAAAAAAAACAAACTCCCACAGTTGAAAAGCCATCATTCCAGGCCATGTGGGAGTTTAACAATCGAATGATTCCAAAGCTGATCATCTCACACCGTTCAAAAGAAGAGGAAATAAATTCCCACACATGACAGAAATAAATTAAAAAAAAATTATAAAACTCATCATAAGGAGTGAAAAGCATGCGTTTTTTCACAGCTTTCTGGTCAGAAACATCCAATAATTGAAAACACAAACGCTTCAGAATCATTACTATGGTGGAGAAGAGGCGAGAGCATTTGGTAAAACAAAAAATAATAGCACAAAGGTCACCATTATTTTCACCTGAGGAGCACAGTAAAACCACAGCTTTCACCTTTCTGTCTGTTCAGTTATTTTTTTCTTCAGCCAGTGTGAAGAAAAAACATCACCATTTTACAGCACAGCATGAAGACAGGAGGGAGCGGGGGGAGCGGAGGAGGAGGAGGAGTCGAGGGACTCGGGAACCGTATGATCCTGCCTATCAGAGAGCATAGAGAAGGGGGAGAGGGAAGCTGAGGGGTCGGGGCAGACCAATCCCTTCGGACTCTCCATATGATGATGTTGGAAACCCGTGACAAAAATGACTGAATTCGAGTGTAAGGTCACATCGGAAAGAGAGAGAGCAGAGAAAAGAGGAGGAGGACAGACTGAGGGGAGAAGGACGCTGGGTCTGACCCAAAGTACTTACACTGCACCTGAAGGATCTGGTCACTCAGGTTGGCCTTGACATGGTTCTCACTATATGTGGGCAGTACCAACCCTAGACTGAGTTGGGGAAGATAAGGAAGCAGACATGAACATACAGCTCTGGAGAAAATGAAGAGCCCACTGCTCTGAAAACCTGGTTATTCCACCAAGTATTGATTCCTGAACTCTTCCTGAGTTCAAACATTTTTAAATAAGATGCACACTGCTTGTAAATTCACCACTTCAGTAATAATTTAGAGTTTATAAATACTGGATTTGTGTGATCCAGGTAGCCAATCTCATTGATAATTCAGCAAAGAATGTGCAGTGCTTTCTGTTTATTTAACATAAAAATACTCTTTGATAAAGATGTTTTAGGAACATTCCTGCGACGTATGTGGATGTTTTAATTGAAAAACATCACTCAGTTGTGCAGCGCTTCAGATGTTCTCCATCTTTGATTTGCTGTAATTTCCTAAAAGCACGAAAGCTTTTTTCTCTTTGTGCGACAGCAGCATTTGATGTGCCACATTTTCAAACAGACCTTATAATCCACTGAATGTGCTATGATTTCCTTTTTTATATAAAAGCAAATCTAATTTAGCGCATCTGTGCAGTGACAACCTTGCAGACCCCCTGTGATCTCCAACAACCCTATTAGTGATGTCTAAGGATGGGAATACGCCATGTTCCAAATTATTATGCAAGAGATATTTTCTCAGATTTTCTTAAATGGTCAATGCAAATGATGGTCAGTATAATTTTCAAGTCATGAACTATTACAGTATGAATCAAATTTTACTGAACAAAGCTACCCATGAGAACAGTTTTTTTTTTCAAAAATAAAAAACTCAAAATGAACTGATTCAAATTATTATGCACAGCAGATTTTCTAAACATTTTATGGATTATAAAGAACTGCAAACGGTCATTCTTTGAATGTGCAGCATTAAGTGGTCACATGTGCTAAATCAAAAGCTATTTCAATCAAAAACATCTTAACAGATGGAGTTACATGTTAACATAAGACCTCCTCTTTGGTATCACCTCCACAATTCTTGCATCCATTGAACTTGTGAGAATATATTAAATTTAAAGCAAATACTTCAGCAAATGGCATTGCTTTTTTAAATTGTGTCCTTTTCAAAGCGTAAATGTACGAAAACATCTGAAGTACAACACATAACAGGCTTTAAAATATCTCACTATTGCAGACCATAACAGTCAGATTTTAAAACTGCCTAATTATATAATTTCTTAGATAAACATCAACAGAACTGGGCAAGTATTTCCAGATGTAAATCAGAAGCCAGACTGTGTTAAAATTACCTAACTATGTGCAACTTAAACTGTAAAAACTGACTTGTATTCAAACAAGTTTTAGACTTAATTTAATATTTTTAGTCTCTTAAATGACCTAGTTTGGGTATTTTTGCAGCCTATTAAGACAGTAACTCAGTTTGTGAGCTGCAGCAGCTGCACTTCCTATTTATAACTGCGAACTGCTCCAAAGTGAAAGATGATATTTAAAAAACACTTACAGGTTCCAATATTTTGGTCTGAATGTCAGGTAACGCGTTCTTAGCTGCACACCTACCTGTAGTTTGTACCTTCTACGGGCGTCCATGTGTACGTTCGCATGGCTTCGTTGATGTATCTCTGTGGGTAAACACAAAAGAACGACAGTGAGCTAACCCCGCTAATGGATCTGCACATTTCGCCTCCCATAATTAGAAGGAAACAAAGGACAGTGAACACATTGACTGATTCAGATTCATTACAACACTATGCAGGAAGGTGCTACTTTGGATCATGATTGAGTCACATATATTGATGACTTGCCTCATCAACTGACTTAATGAGCGTCTTGATTTTTCTTTGCCCCGATCTGCCATCAATCATCTGTCTGCGGATCTGCAGGAAAGCAAAACAGGGGATGCAAACGAAGGCACACAATACACAGAAAAACAAAAGAACATTAAATATAACTGAAACAGGATATTTACAAACACTGTATAAAAAAGATGTCACATTTTTTTCTTGCTGTCTAACATTAATTTAGACTAAAGATTTTTTCTTTCATGTCAGCAATTAAAGCAGGAGTTTTAATTGCTGAGGGAAACCTTAAAGTTTAAATTGAGTCACTGAAGAAATATGTAAAATGATAAAATATTGTTTGTTCTTGTAGTCTCCTGAAATGAGACAAAAAGTTTGGTTGCTTCAGTGTGAATAAATGTTGTCTATTTCATCCAATTATTTCAGATTTTTAATGCTCCTAAAAACACCTGAGAACCAATTTGTTTCTGATAACTCGCTTTACCTCCTCCTTGTTGTTATCTTCGAGTTCTGCATCCAGAAAGTCCAGAGTGACAGGCTCCCTGAAGTTAATGATCTGCACAGCACAGACGGGTGGGAGACAGTGGGGGAGGATAAACATCATTTAAAACAAATAAAGTCCATATTTAGATTCGGAATTAGGAAACTAATTAGATGCACAGAGACGGACCTACCTTGGGTCTTAGGTTAGGATGCAGCAGCACGTAACCATTTGGGTCAGTAGCAAATGTGTAGCCATTGGCCCCAAGCTGCAGACAAAATATGTTAGAAAATGATTTATTAACCTTTCAAGATAAAATATGTGGATATGATAATGACAGCAAAGAATGCTCACTCTGTATGTTGGAGTCTTCTTCTTGATTTCATTAATTGCAACGTCTACTCCCATAACGCCAAGGATGAGCTGATTCTGTAGGATGAAAAGAAACCAGTAGAGTCCTAGTATTATAATATTAAGAACTCCTCTTTTCCCGGAAAAGGAGGCGATGCAAAGCGCCGCAGCTTGGGCTGGAAAATCTATCAGGATAACGATTAGTCATGCATTTCACAAAGAATGAGAAAAAGAAAACCACAAGCAAAATGTAAAGGGTGTTCTCTGGAAGACTGGCACAGAAATGTAGCGAGCATTTAGTGTCTACGCCAACAAAAGTTGCACACCGTAGAAAAACATGGTGGTGGCAGCATCATGCTGTATAGATGTGTTTCTTTTATTACAGATGTGTTTCTAAATTTATTTTTAGACGTAATTTGTTCGTAAACAATGTTCAAAACCATGCATCCTGCTGATTAAACTTTACAAAACTTTGTGTTTGTCGATCACATGAAATTCATGAAAGTTTGTGGTTGCAATCTTCTTCCTACATTACTGAGTAAAACCTCCAGGGATATTGATATTGTCAAGGCATTGCATCGTTGTGGTCAGTGGATGCCACAGACAATTTGTTGTAATGTCGGATGTCACCTCAAGGGGGAGGTGTTGCCACAGAAAGTCAGCACTGTGTGAACACCATTACAGATGATTGATGATGGTGACACACAGAGAAATAATGAATATAAAAGCTGAAATCATTATGTATGTTTGCGTGACTTTAAAGCTTCGCCCACTTAAAGGGCAAGAAAAACTTTTTAACAGAATAATAATATTAATAGATTGGCTTGTGAGTCATACTGATTTGTGTGTGGGTGGGTGGACTGGTAGACACTTTAAGTCAGTTGTTTTTACCTGAGAGCTTGTGCTGTCTGCAGTGAGGTTGAAAACTGGCATCGTTCCTGTGATGACAAGCCCCAAACCCTTAAAAAAAAGGTCAGAAATGTACAACTAGAATTAGATTTTAAATAGTCAAAATTTCTCTTCAGTAGAAATTTTGTAAACAGAAACAGAGTGCCTTCCCTTTGATTTTGCAAATCAAAAAACTTTATAATAGTACATAATATGTTCAATAAGATACAAGAAAAAGAAAGTTAAATGAGCAAAAACATATATTTTTTGTTTAAATATACATTTTGTGTACTTACCAGAGCATCCTGGTAGACATTGGTCCACTGCACCTGTTTACCTCTAGGCCCAGCCAGCACCATGGGACGTCCCAGGACATCCAGGTATTCCTGCAGGGAGAAACATTTACACTGACTGCTGTGAGTGTCCACAGTAAACATAAATAAACAGACATTTATGGCGGCCATTGTGCATTGGCTTTAAAGGTAGAGAGCTGGTAGAGCCCTCATATGTTCATCTGTCATAAAACCACAAGACCCTGACCGGCCTTGTCTTTGTCACCACATAAAACCAGCGGGCCACCACCAGCGGCAGCAGCATCCCGGTCCGACAGAGCCATAAAGAACCTCACCCTCACCCCCCAGTCTCAAAGCCACTTCAGGCAGTTTCTCATCGTTATGAAGCAGCTATTAAAAACACATTAGGGTTGTCAAGGGGTGCGACATACAAACATTTCCCAGAAGCTCTACTGTCAACAATGGCAGTGAGAGATTATCCCACAGCAATTCTGAATGGAGGTGAAAGGTTATGACTCCTAGTAGTTTGTTTTATTCTGCTTTTCTGAGGAGACCCCATGGCAAAGAGCTAATATTATTTTAGGTAAACAATTATTGACCCTTGTCACTTTGAAGATTATGTGGTAAAATTATTAGGTGCATAACCTGATGGCAAATTTAGGAAACATTATGGTGCCTGATTATAAGCATGAGTCACTACCTTTGTTAATATTTTCAAAAGCTTTGAATTCATTCATCTTTTGATGGTTTTTACAGTACTTTGAAAACATTTTGTTCATATTACACGCTTAATATTTCAGATTATTAACCAGAGTAAATGCAACGAGTCTTCTATACTCTTCTTTGCTGAAATGTTTTCATTTAGCTACATGGAAAGGATTTCAAAACATTGAATGGCAAAAACCTTATAATGATACATAGTATTTCCAATAAAATATTGGAAATAATTTATTGGGTCATACTATGTGGGATTGACTCAGTGATTGAAAAATTATAAATATCAAGTTTTTCAGCCATATTTCAATGCTTAAAAGTTGAATTTGTGTCCATATGTCAACCACATCAAACCAACTCTGCCAAGAAGAGTGGTCAAATATTTAACCACAGTTATGTTTACTGGGTAACAAATAACCATACAATATTTATTCATATATAAAGAGCCATGAAAAATTTTGACCCTGTGAGTGTTAAAGAAAATATATGATAAATTCAGGTAGGTGCATTCAATTCTTAAAATGTTGGAGTCTTAAAAATTAATCAGGTTTTATGCTGACTAATTTAACACAAGGAAGTGTTAAAATGTATAATTAAAAACTTCATAATATTCTAACAATTAGGCCCATGTTGGAAGTATGTAAACTTAAACCATGAAATGTAATTTGACTACGTTTTAACAAACTTTTCCACATTAAAATGAACAGAGAAATATGTCCAACCCATGCTTCATGCATAAAAGTAGCTATATGCATACAAAGCAGCCATTTCAGTAAAATGCTTTTGTCCATTTTGTTTTCTATCGTCTGAACAGCGAGGTGCTGACAGCCATAACCTATTCTATTATTAGCTCAATAAAAGTCCAGTTTAATGCGCCACGGGGAGATATTCCATCAGGACAGTGACAGCCAGACCTTTTCACGGGATATAGTGGAAATTTTCCGCCTGGCTAGAACAATCTAGGAAAGCATAACAAGTCAGCAACAGACACACGAGATCCAGAGTTCTTCTATATCCCTGTGTGTTGATTAAATGCTATTTTCTTCCTAACTCAAAACCAGCAGCTATAATTTCTAAAAGTAAACTTATCGGTGTGAACCAACACCAGCTATTTCAGGACTAGACTTGCAGTCCTATAAAAGTAACTCAGGACAGTACTTGTAAAGTTTTTCCCCCTGCAGTCCATCTGTTATCCGAATGCTGCCATCTTATCCAAGTGAGACGGTGTAACGAGTTATTTTGAAGGGCAGAGTACTGTTAAATAATGTAAGGTCTCACTGTTTTCTTCTACAACCACCTTCAGAAAACCTATTAAAGTAAGTGGCAGTTCTCAGAATATAAATATGCCGGAGTTAATGGAACAGCTGACAGTCTTTTCCTGGGCTGGCTGGCTGGACTAGAGGGTGGGTGGGTTGGCAGAGAAGTGAGGAATAAAAAACAAGAAAGTAGGAGGAGGGTGATGGCGTCGTAGCTCCACCATCGACGGAGAGACAATTTTTACACTATACCAAAGGTCTCTCAAAGGTTATGCCTTGAACAAATGTGACATTAGTTGAGGGGCAAACTGTTCTGAACGCAAGAGGAAACTCAAGCAAAGTGTTTAAGAGTCAAATGTGGTAAATATAACTTTTTGTAGCTAATTCAGCTGTTTATCAAAGTATACCAACTCTAACTTTTGGTTCTGCTTTGTGCACTAAAAATACATTTGGAACAAAAATATATATTTTCTTTATATTTTGCTTTGCAATATAACTGTTTTTTCTTAATCCAGATAATAAGTGTCTAATAAAACATGCCTGTTTGGGGTCTTGCAAAGCTCTGTCAGCATTTCAAAGGAAATCTCCTCCAACTCTTCAGTGAGCTTTGCTTCACAGTTATATTGAAGGTGTGGTTATCCCTGTCGCTTATGCATATTTTTCTTACAGATTTTTCTTCCAGCAAACTTTCCATGGATTGTTACAGCAATTGAAGAAGTTAAGGAAATATCATAATGTAATTGTTGCACCAAATGTCCAATTTATGCTCAATTCTGACTCTGTGTTGGGTCTATAAATATACTGTGTCTATACCTGTGTGTTGATTCTGATGGCTCCAATTGATGGTATTTCAAAGTAGTAACCTGAAATAAGAAGAAACAGACAGTTACGTTTAGAAATATTAAATAATACATTCAGCTTTCTTTTTAGGTATGCAGGTGTCATATTCAGTTCATGCATAAATTTCCAAGTGTGTCCTAATGTGAACCATTTTGGAGACCGGAGCCTCATCTCCTCATGTACTTATTAGGTGCATGCATGGTCATAAACCCCAGCGGATGACGGTGGGACACACAGACACGACGGCGCTCACAGCCGCTGACCCTTCGTGTTTGAAGATGTACTGCAGGATGTAAATGTGGAAGCTCATTGAGAATGCTGAGCCCCAGGCACTGCGGCTGATTAGGAATGGACGGGAATGACCGACTGGGTCAATAACCGGGCTGCTCAACAAGTTATTAAAGCCATGAGTGTTTATACAAAGAGCCGTGAAATGGAGGCAGCGTCTCCAGAATGTTAAAAAGCAGAGGCAACTTTCATTATTTCGACACATTAGGCAGCCTTCCCCCTCCCTGCCGCAGTGTTTGGTGGTGAAATCTCCCTTCTCCATCTCAATTCATTAGAAAAATGAGAGCACTCATGCACATCCGTAAACATTTTTGAGTTTATAATTCACAAATGCACACACTGGCACAATGTTGTGCTTGGTGCCAGGGCTCTTGTCTGTACGCTAGACAAGTTGTGATTTTAGAGCAAAGCACCACAAAAAGGTGTAGAGAGGAAAATATGATTTGGATTTTATAGGTTCATACAGCAACAGATGCGGTTTCAGAGTCATGGCTACACTCGATGTTTACGAAGAGGAGGCCCAGTGTCCAGTCTACCAGATAACATTAATTTAGATCTGAACACCTTTGTTTAGACAACTGCTAACTCAAAGACTTCAGCTTTTACAATCTCAATCGCTGCAAATCTAGAGATAAACCACCACTGACCATTTCCTACTAAAAAACAGATCAAATTATACAAAGACGCTCTGAAATAAGGCACAATTAATTGTGACCTGAACATCAAAGATAAAGATAAACTATCTTTTTAAGATGTCTCAACCCCACAATAAACAAAAACCCCTTGAGAAAACGCTGACAGAAGCTAGCAGGAAATTCAATTAACCACAATAGAACAAGCTGAAAATGCCACTCAGAAAGGAAGAAGCCTTTAGTGCAAAAAGCAACACCTGCCTGTATCCCAGTTATCTCTGAGGAAGAATCAGTAAATTCCCCTCAATCAGTAAATTTCTTTGCAAGACACTTGTATTTCAATAGCAATTTTTATCCAGTACGATGAAAATATATGTAAACATGTGTGTTTATCTGTCATTATTGTGGAATTGAGCAAATAATTTTAGCAATCACAACCGACATAAAATAGAAAATCCCAGGCTAATACAACAGCAGACATAAAAAAATACAATTGTTATATTTCTTTTCAAATAAATCATTTAAATATCTGGTTTCAGCTGTATAGACTTAAACACCAATAGACCCTTTGCACCTGGCTCACCAAGATAAGAGTAGCACTTGTTACGCAGAGATGACAAAAAGATGCCTGTGGGATATTATGCAGGACGTAGTTGAGTTCACATTTCACAGAGATTAGAGAAGCGCTTGTGGCAGGGAGCTGGCGAGTTTGATCCTTGTCCCTGGAAGCCTTTATTGAAATCTATATGAATAAAGTCTAAATATAGAGGTCCAAAATTTGATTTACAGTATATGTGGCATGAGTGCATAAAATAGCTGACACTGATTTTAAACCGGCAGACCTTTTCTGTATTTGCTCACTGTCTGAGAGTCAAATGAATGTAAAGATGATATATATTTTATAAATAATATTATAACTATAATACTGTCTTTTTGGTGTAATAGCACCAATAATTTCTTCATCATTCTTTACGACTTCACTTTTTAAAATCCATTATAAAACTGTAACAAAGTGCAATACTATTAATAAGAGCTAATAAAATAATCAATTTTCTTCATAATGCATAGCAATAAAATTATAGATGAACTTAACGTGAAAGTTGCTTTATATTCTTTGAGCAACTTTAGAGTTTGCAGAAAATATCAACATAATTTATGATGTTTCTGTAGTTAAAAGTTCAAGGATGTAAAATACATTTAGTTCTGTGATTAAAAAAAAAAGACCTTAATAATTCATTATTATTTAATACATCAAAACAGTTGACCTTTAAAGCAATTCAGTAAAGCCTTGTGACTTAAATACACAATGGATTACAGAATGTTGCAAGATTTAATAAGCACAGGCTTTTTCCAATTTCTTTTCGAACTGATTTTGAGTTTTCACTCTGATGTATCTGTGTTTTTATTTACAAAATTAATATTTCAATCACAAATAATCAACTTGCTGGCCAAAATATATGCATATGCTTAAATTAGCACTGTGATGAAGCACAATTTTATTACATTTCAATATTTACTTTGTTACAAGGAACAAAATTTTAGCTTTTGTAGTAAAAGCTTTTGGACATTTGTATCTTTTAGGTCAAGCCATAATTTGGAGATTGTCAAGGATGAAAAGGTATCAGTCAGGAGAAGGGCAGAAGAGAAGACTATACAAAAGCATCACACCATTATACATATTATGACAGAGGCAGTGATCAATAATAATGGAGAAAATATTGAACAGGGGCATGGAAAACTGAACATTTCTCCAAAACTGATGGAAAACAAGAATGAAAACATTCAGTGAAAATAATTCAGGAGAAAAGTTTCTCCTGAATTGGCACAGAAAGTCAACATTTCTGTGAAAGGATTAGCATCACCTTCTCTATGTAAGCTTATTCGCTTCTGTTATTTATTAGAGCAAAACTCTCAATAAGAACTTTGAAAAAAACACAAAAAGTAATTTTTTTAGACAAGATTAAAACAAAATTCACATTTTGCACATCTCTGTATTTATATTTGGGTTTTTACTGCTTCTATAAGGTAGAAAACTCTTAGGAAAAACTCATCAAGTTTTTGGCAATACGTTCGTATTTTCTGGTGTCTGTAAAACCACCCATTTCAAAAAACCTCTGGAATGTAACATCACAAGTCAGTCGGCACAACAACCCCAGCCAAGCCCAGCCCGTCACCTAGCAACCCCAGCCAAGCACCGCCCGTCACCTAGCAACCCCAGCCAAGCACCGCCCGTCACCTAGCAACCCCAGCCAAGCACCGCCCGTCACCTAGCAACCCCAGCCAAGCACCGCCCGTCACCTAGCAACCCACGCTGAGCTTCATTACATTTGGTCAGCTGGTTTCACTGCTACAAGATCTGTACAACTTTTACAAAGGAGTGTACATTAACTAGGAGGCGTGGCCAGCAGCAGCTTATTTGTATTTAAAGTGACAAGAGCCTCTCAAGACATCTCAATCTGAAAGGAAATCAAAACATGACGACTAAAATTTCATTATCTAAGAATGATTTAGCGCAGAAAATTTTATTATGCTGTTTTGTATAGCCCATGGATCTATTTGGTCACCTATAAAGTAAAAATTAGCGTCTGCAATCGCCCACATGGGTGTCAGCTTCTTTCCACTGAGGCTGGTTTGGCAACACCATTGTCTTTAGTATTACGGTAATCAGTACAGTTGTGAACAGCAGAGAGCATGTTGGCTCAGAGGCATAATCCTGGACTTCCCCCTGTCTGTCAGGGAGATGGTATGCTAATCACTCTGCTACCAGACTTCTGCTGCTAATTAATAACGACTGCTGGGGAGATGCCTCCACGGCACTTGGCTCCATTGGCAATAAGCTAATCAACAGAGGAGTCTCTTCTAAAGAAACGTCTTCAGATAATTTGCGACGTCAATTTGAACCGACCCACAAAAGACAAGACAATTGCGAAGGAGAACTGTTTATGGGTGAAGAAATAATGAGTGTTCAGAAAGAAAAAGCACAGCAGGAGCAAGAAGTTAACGCAGACCCACATGAGTAAAGCGGAGATCAGACAACAGAGCCAACAGGAAACGGAGCTGAGTCAACTGTCAGACTGTTAGTCAGAGACCTGAAAGTCTGCTGGGTTATTTCAGAGCTCAAGGCTGATACAACAGATTTTATCACCCACTAAAGTCCGGCAGCCATTTTTGCATAGGTTTAAAATAGCCAGAGCAAGTCAATACCGCAGTTTTAAAGCTGTGTTCTGGTTTCATATCATTTGGTATTTCATTGTCTGGAAATACACTAAACATCCAAGGAGATCGTGAACATTTTCACCAAAGTGCTCTTCTGTTAGAAGTTTGTTCCTCAATAAGGAAATCAAACAAACCTTGAATTATATTTTCAAGCCTAATATTACTGAAAAAACTTCTTATTTATTGTGACTGAAAACAATTTTGTAGCCTTAGAAAATTAATAAAGAAGGCAATAAACTAATTACTGTAAAAACTACTGAAATATGAAAAAGGCTGACATCATTGTTCGTTTTGCTAAACTCTAAATGCTTGTTTTGTTAGAAAAAAATCAAGCAGGAGTTCATTAATTTAACAAAGAAAATGTGGGAAACCCAAGTGGCGCAGAAGCTATTGTTTCCTGTTGCTCCCTTTGGAAAGCTTTATCTGTATTTTATTTTCACTTTTTAATATATGCATAACTCAATTCAAAATGAGGATTCTCCCATCATGGGTTTTCTAAGGATTCAGCACTAAACAGACAACCAACAATGAGTCGATCACAGCCTTAGCTGCTTTCTTTCTTTGCCTGTTTGTTTGTTTCCTTCTCTTTTGTTTACAATAAAAACAAAACTTCACTCTTCACTTACCTTTATTAGCACATGCTATCCACTGCAAAGGGGTGACATCATAGTTATGTTGCCCAACAGAGAAGGTGAAAACTCGAACCTGGTTCAGGACAAGAAAACACAGAAGAATAAACTAAATTACATTATTTGAACCTCCTTAAAATGACAATTTCTGTTGCGACTCTTCCTTTTGCTCTTTAAAGAAACTCTGAAAATCATTACTGATAATAATATTTTTACTGTTGATTCATTTTAATTTGATAAAACCAAACAATTTCACAATTAAATCTAATTTGAAATTAGATGGTTTGTAAGGAAAATTATGTTTCACACCAGAATTTTAATATACAGGATAGAATAGGAAGAATTACAGATAGATTAATTTTAATTATGCCGAGGTGAATTGGATTTATTAGGACTGCAATCCAGTACACTTTAATCGAACCATCTTACTTTTTATGACACCTTATATTGATTTCTCCTGTATTATGTTATTGTATATAAATAAATTCACAAAGCTGAATGAAGATTAAAATGGCAGATTAGTAAAATGGAGAAATTTGGTGTAAGACAAAAACGATAAAACTATTAAACCAGTGGCAGAACCACCACAGGCTCTGATGATATAGCGGCTAATTAGTCACCAGGTCAGAGCTGTTAACACCAGCTAAGCAACAATGGAAAAAAAAATAAACAAACAAACAAAGAAGGTACGAAAGAAAGAAAAAATAAGAGTTGGGAAGGAAATCTAAAGATTGGAAGAACGACAAAGAAATAAATCATGTAAATCAAAAGAAAAGGGAAGAACTCTTGGAGAGGATGGGTTGTGCACAGATTGGGATGCTTGGCATGTCTGACTTACACAACTGTCTGTGTAATAAAGAGACAAAAACATGGAGGCAGGAATCAATGGACAGAAAACAGCCCAACAGACATACTCACAGTTTTGTTGGGCCAGTTATACTTCTCAAAGATTTCCTGAGCACGATCTTCACCGCCATCTGTAAACATCATTATCATCTTATTGCAGTTGGCCCTCGGGGCACTGCTCTCCTGTGACAGGCGAACAGAAGACAGTGAAGGAAAACAGAGAGACAGATTACAGAAACTATAAAGCAATAATGATATAGCTATCTTACACCACACCGTCTTTTCAACACCAGCTTCACTTATTTGAGTTTCATTGAAAAATACTGAAAACTGCTCAATATTTGTGAAGTGTAAGGAAAGTGCGGTACCCCTTAATAAACTCCAGTGCAAATAAATATCTTTCATAAATCCTTTAACTAACAAATAGATTCTACTTATGTGAAATATAACTTCAGTTTGAATACTAATAACTACACAGAAGCATCATCCTGAACACTCAGACTCCACAATAAAGCATGGTGGTGGCAACATTGTGCTGTGGGGATGCTAGCAGGGAAAGTGAAGTTGGGCAAAACATTGTCAGACATTACAAAAGATAGTTGTTCATTTTAGGAATGACAGAGGAAAGTTCGAACCTAAATCCAGATGTGATTTTGTGGTGTCTAAATTGACCTTAAGCTTTGACAAAAGGTCACTGGACCATAAATATCTTTATGATAAAGATTTTAAAAAATGACAAAAAAGGAAGGTGCTCTGGTCACTTTTTGAAATAAATTTGACTTTTTAGTCTAAGTGTGTGTAAAATTAACCCTGCTCCTCAAACGCACCGCTGCCAATCACTCTTAAACATGAAGCCTAACCTACAATGGAGGTGGATCTCCAAAATATTGATCCAAATTAAGTTCAGTAAAAATGAACTCTATCCTTTTAAAATTTTTATATGTAAATAATTACAAAAAAAAAAAAACGGCCAACTGGTCTCTCTAAATTGTCCTTGACTGAAAAACCCATCACGGTATAAACGTTTTATATCAGTTGGTATCGATAATTATTGATTAGGTTTTTGTTTTAGATATCTGAAAGGATGACGTTTCCTGCTTTATCCACAGTTTTAGCTCCACGCCGTTGTTTATTTTTAAGCAGTAATGAGGCTCAGTGGTGAATCTAAAACTGCTGCTGCACCAGTTACTCAGCAGGTTGTTGCCAAATAGCCACATGAGTGGCTAGGTAACCAAAGAGAGAGTGAGTTGATGCCGCCAACCTTGGACCAGATTTTAAGAAATAATGTACTGACTAAAGTATGAGATGTATTATCTACTGATATTGATCATGTATCTATTGGGATATCTATTGTTATTTATTGATTGTAGGTGTGTGTATACTGGTTTGTGATGGACTGGTGAGGTTGGATAAGTGTGTATAGCTAATGGATGAAAAGATCATTTTAAAACCCAGGGATCAATTTTCTTCCACTTCACAATTATGTGGACTTTAATGTAATTAGTTTGCTTCGGTCCATCAAAATTTACAGTAAATTATAAATACAATTTGAGAAAATTGTGCAATTTTGCAAAACCCTGTGAGCATTCAACCTAATCTTACAACTTCACCGCTATCCAAGTGTGTAGATCTCTCTTTATTCGTAGCACGCACAAAGTTCGAATTAAATCTAAAGAATATTATATTAATTAACCATTAAACATTGTTGCTCCCCGTCTCCCTCCACAAAACGACAGCTGTGGCTGATATGCAGGCCAATCTGACAAGATTCTAATAAAGATAAATAATATTTCTGCGACTACATATTTTTATTGTGCTTCTGCCACAAATCATTCAGCCAGCCGGCAAGAGACAGCGATTAAGACCCCCCCGCCCCCTTCTCCTTTTTATTTCTCTTTTCCCCGACAAAAAGCAAGGATTCTTGGCTCTGTGCCTCCCAAAATGCACAGAGGAATATAAAGTGTCTGTGGCTGATCTCCTCTGGGCTACGCTCATCAATCATCCTATCAGAGCCCATTAGTGTGGCAGCCTCAGAAAATGCGCCGCAGCATACGGAGCTGAGGCAGCACCTGTGCCGGGAGCACGTGGATGGGCTGCTGCTGAGAAACCTCGTCTCCGTGTCGGCTGCCACTCCACCGCAATGGCAGCCATAATCAAGCCTGCCGTTAGAAATGACAGCCTTCTGGAAATGTCTAATGCAAACCTGGGCTGCTCACTGTCAGGCTTGTGGTATCACCATAGTTTGATTAATTAGATTAGACAAAAGCATCAGCCTTAGAAAAACAAAGCAGCCTTTCTAAGAAAAGCTTGTTAGCTCTTACATTGAGAAGTTGCTCGAAGGCAAACGTGAAGCCTGATTTGTAATCTGTGGTTCCTTTGGCCTGCATATGCGTGACGGCTTGCTTGAAGATCTTCTTGTTGCGGACATTGGCTTGGACCAAAGTCCTGAAGCACGGAACGACAGCCTCAGCCTTTTCATTAAACTGGAAGACAGAGGACAAAAAAAAAAAATATGTATCTGAACATTGCTAGGAAAGAATACCACAAAGTTTGCCAAAACACAACTGTGTCCAGCTGAGTATCTCTGTGTTATTGGTCTGGTGTGTGCAGTTCCTGGAGGCAGGATGCAGACGTGGGTGTGTGCAGATGCAAGCTGCCCTGCCACTCTCCGCCTGGCAGTAAACACCTATAATTACAACTTTCCCCCACAAAGAACAGGTGCACCTGAAACGGCGCTGCAGCGCGCCCAACGGAAACCCAGCCAAGGTAATATCATCTGTCTCATCTCATCTACCAAATTAGCCTAAAATTGCGCTTACGTCCCTCCATGTCGGTGTGTTTACATCTGCGGCCATGTCTGCATGTGGTGTCTATGCATGATTATGACATTAGCAGTGATGTCTGAAACGCCGTGTTTCAAATGTTTCGTCTTGAAGGTCAGATTCAGATTTTGCTGACATTTTCAACACTGATTGATGTGAAACGCTGTGTGTGAGAAAAGCTGACATTTCTTATAGGAGTCGTTGTCGTCACATATTTGAAGAGGTAAAGAAATGAAAAGCACAGAGAGTTAATATTATTACATTGTTTGTCTGCATGATGTAAAAAAGTTGAGTTCATGTAAATAGGATGAAGAAAAAATAATTTATATATAAATATATAGAATATATAAATAATATTAAACATTTATTAATTTTCTAGTTTCAGCTTTTTAAAGCTGACTTTAACCTACAAATTACTAAAATTAACTATTACGTTATTTGAAAATATTAAATATTATGTTGGTAGTAATAGTATTATAAAATAGCCAAATAGAAGGAAGGAAGGAAAGGAGGAAGGATAGAAATGAGGAAGGAAGGAAGGCAGGAAGGAATGAAGGAAAGAATGAAAGAAAGAAGGAAGCAAGGAAGGAATGAAGGAAGGAAAGGATAGAAAAAATGAAGAAAGGAAGGATAGAAAAAAGGAAGAAAGGAAGGATAGAAAGAAGGAAGGAAGAAAGTATAGAAAGAAGGAAGGAAGGAAGTATAGAAAGAAGGAAGAAAAAGAGGACAAAAGGAAGGAGGGAAGGAAGGAAGAAAGGAAGGAAGAAAGTGTATGTCAGCGTATAGGTTATGAAAAGTAGGAGAGAAGGACGCAAAGAAGGAATGATGAAAGAAGAACAGAAGAAAGGAAAGGATGAAAGGCAAGAAAAGAAAAGCAATAAGAAGTGATGAAAGAGAAGAAATAAATTAGGAAAGACAGAAGCTGAAGGAAAGAAGATAACATTTATTAACAGAAAATTAAGTTTGGAAATACAAATATGTTCCATATTTATCCAAACCTGCCTCTTCAGGAGCCCAAATTTACAGGAAAACAATTACTGTTGTATCTAAATTGGTGTCAGAAGTAATGTCTTTAAAATCCTGAAAAAGGAGATGCAGAAGACAGTGTCTGGTGATAATTTTTGGGTAAATTATGATGTCATTAATGCGTTTTGCGTTGTGCAAACAATTCACAGCAGGCTTGTGTAAACCCTCACTTCCTTCACAGTGGTGAAAATCAGATGCATTCCCACCCAGATTAGCATGCTCATTTCTTGCTCTTGGAGATGGGATTTAGGGCCATACAGTGGCTAAAAGCAATGGATTATGAAGGATTACCGAAGAGAGTCGACAAACAGAAGCACCACACTAAGCAAGCAGACGTGTATGCGTGTGGAAGTGTGTGTGAGTGTGGGGGTTTGCACTGCAGAAAGCAAGTTTTGTGTGTTATCTGCCCTGCAGAATAGAATAGCAATCATATTCCCACACATATTAGTTCTAGTAATAGAAAACCTGGTGATCAGCAGTGACAGGAAGACACAGATGGAAACAATTCTATATGGACATAGATGTAGGAAGAGCAAATGCTCTGCAATGGAGGAGAGATGTGGTTTCCACTGCAAATAAACAACTGGGGACAGAATGAGCCCACTGCTGCGCCTAATGACTCCCAGCTTAATTAGAAACCGCCAAATAAAAACTGCAAATACTGGCAGTAATATCACTTGCAGTAGTGAGTCATTATAATAATTGCAAATAATGATTTTACAGCTTCGACGTACCTTCGCCACATTGACATAGTCATCGTCTGATAACGTGTCAAGCATCTCTATGACGGAGGTTTTCATGAGTTTTAGAGTGAGTCCGCTGACACTGCCGCTCCTGCAGACAGCAAAGAAACAACGATGCTCAGAAACATTCAGAAATATTCAAATTAGTTTTCTTGCTTTAGAAGTTATAAATTGGAACTTTACTATCATTTGCATCTAATTCCCCCCATGATCCAGTTTTTGTTCTTTGATGAGTTGATGATGAGAATGCAAATACAGGATAAGATGTAGAATAAGATAAACTAAAAAAAGCCTTGGTAAAATAATCCCAATTAAACTGTAGTGAGTTGATAAAAAGAAGTGAGGTGATAAGAAGTAGATTTGTCCATATATGTTCATCACTATTATTTCTCTCATATTATGTAATACACATATATATACAGCTCTGGAAAAAATAAGGGACCACTAAAAATGATCAGTTTCTCTGATTTTACTTTTTATAGGTACATGTTTGAACATTGTTCTTTTATTCTATGAACTACTGACAACATGTCTCTGAAACTCCAACCTAAAATTTAGTATTTGCAAAAAATGAAAAACGGCCAAAATAACAAAAAAGATGCAAAGAAAACAAGTTTGTATTCATTTAGGAACAAAACTGTTTTGACTCAGGAAGAGCTCAGAAATCAATATTTGGTGGAATAACCAGGAGGTTTTCAGTGGGGTTCAATGCAGTGGTGTCTTTAATTTTTCCAGAGCTAAACAAAAGAAATCTGCTACTATAATTGAAATGAACAAATTATAAGTACAAAATGAAGAAAAATTACATAGAATATTTATGTGCTAAATTTTCAAAATATTATAATTTAGGAATCAATCTCTTTTTAGATTGATAGCCAGCAAAGCAGGCTATTTTTAGATATCTACCACGATTTTTAAGGCTCATAATATAATTTAATGCTAAATAATTATCCATAAAGAAATAAATGTGAAAGAAAGAAATACGAATGTTTGAGTGAGGGGAAAAAAAGACTTGAAAACTACATTTCTCATCATAAATCACATTCAAGTTGCATATTTAAGTCCTCTGGTTCTTCAGTTGTCCAAAGTCACTTTTCTCTCCCACATCTTGGAGATTTACCTGAACCAATAAATCAGGATGTAAGGCTTAAAGGTCAGAGGATAAGAAGCAATCATCGTCTTAAACTTTCGCTTCTCCTCAGACCAACAGGTGGCACTGGTGTCCTTTGAAGGCGATAATCTCTGCTGGATCCAGGGACAAGGTGAGAGAAAAGCGAAATACTTACACATCGACAATGATGACCATGTCCTTTGGAGACGATGCACCTTGGATATACCTGCACAAAAGAGACAAAGAAAGGCCTTTAATTCGTTCCCATAATCTCTGAAAATTGCACTGAAGAAAGAGGCCAGAGCCACAATGAGCCCAGTCATAATAGTATGGAGCAGCCATAGCTGAGCCCACTTAAGCTACAGAAAAGGCTTATGTGCTTAGAAGAGTTAATAAGTTGTTATATACTTCAGTGTTGGCCACAGCCGCTGTTGGCTGACTTCAATGCAGATAGTCCTCTTCAGTGAATACCAGAGCCTGGTCTGAATAATTGTTGCATAAGCCGGAGTAATTACTAGTTGATGGTTTCAGCATGTAGCAACACATCTGGCACAATAGCCGGCAGTGAACTGTAAAAGCCTCCAAACAAATGTGGAGATGGCCCTTGTAATGGGCCCAACAAACACATCTTTAACACCATATTATCAGTGTTATTATACTGTTAAAAGGGCAATCATCCCTTTAAACAAAGGCTGAATGTGTTCAATGTCTTAGATATTTAGATGGTATTACACTAAACAGCAATCTTAAAAGCTGCTTAATTATATAGATTTGTTTTCTATTTTGGCATTAATGACGGAAGAAATTTCAGGGAAACTTTCCACAAAGTCACATTTATTTAAGGGTAGAATAACACTTCCTTTTTCGAATGCTAATTAAGAGAAAGGCGGATTGTTAGAGTAACTTTTATATACGTTGCCTTGCAAACCTATTCGTAGTAATAGGTTTGAGCTTTTTCACATAATTGTCCTAAATTCATTACAATTCTACATACTTGTGGATCGGAAAGAAAATTATACATGCTTTTAAACATTATTCATGGCTAAAAATAGGAAAAGCTCCCTTTTCTCTGAAACAGTCAAATATAATCAAGTGCAAACAGTGGCCTCAATTAAATCCATCATCTGAAAATGGAGAGAGCTAAACACAAATGGAAAGTTGTACAAAGACATTTTTGTCCGACCAAACTGACTGGTAAATGAGAAAAAGCATGATAACTGTAGGGGAGCTGCAGAGACCCACTGCTCAGGTGGGAGAATGTGAACAGGACCTCCTAGTTATGCTCTTCACAGAACGCAGAGTTTGTGGAAGAAAAAAGGAAGTAGGTTTCAACTGGAAGCCATAATAAGATAATATACATAACATGAACAAATGTACTTATGTACATTCCCTCACTGGATATAAAGAACTTACATGGAAATTTATGGTTGCTTATTATGCAACATATTATGAAGAAGTTCTTCATGGTGCGTTCACACCAAATGTGTTACGTGAGCCAAAATCTCATCTCACACTTCAGGGTCGATGCTTGTGCACTTTGAATGCAGACGCGTGACATTTTGCTCTACATTTAGTGTTTCACACGTCTTGTTTACGTTCAAAGTCTATGTGGAGGCGCTTCAAAGGCGTCAGACGCATCAAAATTGCTCCAGCCGTTGTTTTCCGTTGCCGGCCTTTACGCTTCAAGTCGTGCCACGACTTTGAATGAAAACCAGATCCGGGAAACGCATTTGGTGTGAACGCAGCATAATACCTGATTCTGCTCCCGGATCAGGTCTCTAAAAAGCCTGACCTGTCGATTCTGACTTTGGCCAGTAACGAATGTTTTTGTCTGAAATGCAAAAAAGTTGCAGATTTTGTAACAGCAACTGAAAACACGCAGGCATGAACTTCTGGTTGGTTCTGACAGTCAAGCTTCTCTCATGGGAAGCAAAACAGGACAGTGGTTGATTTTTAGATTTTCACTGAGGGAGATGAGATCATTGGATAAGATCTTCTTCACATCTAAATATCGTTCAATCACAGATCTCCCAAAATTAAGGAAATCAGGGCAAATTTATTGGTGCAACCTGAGATGAACAAACAATGCCAAAAGCCAACTCTCTGGTGCGTTACCCATTGAAAACGTTTTTCTTTTTTCTTCTTTAAACATGTTAGAACTTTCATAGACAACACCTGCACCTTTGATGTAGCAAATAGGGACTAAAAGGTCCCTTTTTGCACCTTTTAGTTGTAACTGAAAAACTACTAAAACCTCATGCTCTCTCTCCACTCAGCTAAAATTTACTTGTCAAGGAAAAGCCAAAGTGGAGCTGACCTGAGCGGCGGAAACCGCCGAGTAATTTCAGTAAAATAAGGTATCTGACGTTCCGTTCCTTCGTCGGCTCTTCAGCTGGGTGTCAAATACATTATTGAGTCTGGCGGCGGCCCTGTTGCTGCTTCAGACTGTTATACGAAGCACCTTCCAAACGATGTGTGTAACTCACCGGACAGCGACGGTAATGAACTAGCCGGCGCATGTAACATCTGAACATTGTTGATAGGGGATGACATACAGAGGGAAATCAGAAATCCCTTCAGTCTCTTCCAGCGGCAATTAAATTCACATTTGCCAGCGATACAAAAAGAGCTAAGATGGATGGACAGCCGGGGCTTTTCTGCAGCTCGACGGCGGAGGGGAGGGTTGTCTCAGATGTGAGTATTAGTTTGACATTCTGAGGAAGTGAGCAGGCAAGCAGTTAGCAGCCGTCTTAGGCAGAGCCAGAGCAATCATCAGGGGTCTCTTTCTGCTGATTATCGGCCGTTCTGCTGAGTGTGGAGGGAAGCCAGCTGCCCGCGGGCCAAAGAGGCTCTTTTCGCTCGCTCGGCCAGGCTGATATGAAGGTTTGAGCGACGGCGCCCCAGTAGGCGGCACTCTAAACTGCTAAGTGACCCCTGACCTGTGTTGACATCTCATTGCCTGGTCTGCTCGAACCGCTTTGGTGAAAAGCTTAAGTGGAAATCTCAGGAGAAACAGGGGCTGCTGCATATGAGGTCAATGACTGAGCTCAGCTGGTAGTGAATATAGGCAAAATATATGTGTGTGTACATAAGAGGGAGATGGAGAGAGGGAGGAAGATGGAGGAGTGAGAATCCAATTATTTTCAATAATAAAGAATGCTACATCAAAGGTAGAACTTCCACAGCTTCCCACTTCTGGGTGGCGACAGAAATCAGGTCTGGAACCATGAGGCATATAGGCGTGCATGACTTTTATCAATTTAATTACTGAAATCTTAATTCAAGGCAGTGAGGGAGAGGGCGGAGGAAGGACCCGAGACTCCACACGGCGGGGGCCGCTTTCTTTTCAGCAGACCGAATTTGTGAAAGCGATCATCGATGCGGGACGGAAAGCTCGGTCAGAATGAGGCACACGTCTCAACTCCCCGAGGCTCCCAAACAGAGTCACCTCGTCTGGAGATTAAAGGAGGGTCATTTGGCAACGGCTGATGCTTGCAGACCAACTGCGAGATTTCATTAACTTACTTGGTCAGTCTACTTCTCATTGAGGAGAATGATCGTTTAATGGGAATTCAACTTATTTTGGAGGGGGTTAAATGTTAATTATAAGGCAATGCAGGCTTTCATTACCATGTCATTACAGGTCATCTTCATCCCCACCAATGCAAAAATCTCAGACTAAAGAACTATGCAGGCTGCACACCTAAAATATGCTGAGGAGATATTACTTTCAAGCAGATCATTTCTCTGCAGCTGTGAAAGAGGCAGCATTGATCAGTGGTAATAGGGTTTAAGAGAAATGTGTGAGCTGTGATGGAGTAAGGAAGAGTAACGCATGAGTCAAAGCTATATAGTGCTGCCATGGCTGATCTTCCACACAGATTCTGAAGTGACTCTTTTTCGTCTCTTCCTCTGAGAGGGAGAACATCAAGATCAGAGAAAGTAGAATATAGAATCAACGATTTTCAGTCTACGGACCCGATATCGCACTTGTGATGGATAAAAATCATGAACCGAGGCTGGTATCCGGGTATAATTCACCACATTTTTGACTCGCGGATCCAGATGTGTCGTTTCTGCATGGATTCCAGTCCGTAATTACCTCTCGGCTCCTGCCCACTGATGCCATTCTTTCCCTGTCATTACCCGGTCTCCTGCATGCCAAGGCCAGGTGACAAGCAGATGGGCCTGGCTGGTGCTGAACCGAACCCGCTCGCCCATTCAGTCCCCAGCAGGCAGCGGACCCGGCCTTTCAGATTTTTACCATCCACTAAAGGTTGTAAAGAAAAACTCATCGCTGCCAGTGAGCCATCAAGAGCAGTATCCTGTTTCAGACATGGCCACTGGATTCCACATAATGATGTGTCAGCTCCTGTTTATTCTGATGCGCCAATTAGAAAAGATAAACAACTGCCATCTGAGACTTTATATCAGTGCCACAGTTCATTACAAAAAACTGTGGATCAAGATTTAGGTTGACAGAACACGTTAATTACAAGTTGGGTCATGGGACACCTCCAGTGATTTTATTTTATTTTTTAGAGTAATCCTTACTGAAAATCACAAGTCACGACTTCAGTGAGCTAACTGATGGATACAGCTTGTAATAAATAAATAGTTAACAGCATCATTCAGTTTTCGCAGTATTCCTGTCAATCAGGTGGATTAATTTACTCCTAAAGGCAAATGCAGCAGGCCGTAAATGCAAAGAGGACTCTTCAGTCTTCAGTCAGAGGCTTTCTTAAATTTACTGCAATACAGACCGCTACAAGAGCTCTTTCCTGCCAGCAGCCATCACTACCAAAAATATCTCTTTGAAGACTTTGCATTAATCAGTTAGAACAACACTTAATTTCCTTTTGGGATCAATAAAGTATTTTTTGAATTTGAATTGAATTTGATTTTGCATCAAAATCTTTTACTTGCTTTCTAAAGACCACAACTGAGAATCTAGTAGCTAAAGGAGAAATGTTTCACTGAGATAAAGACAGCCTACGTTAGGATTAGGGCTAGACAATATGGCTGAAAAACATATCACAATATCAGCGTTTCATATCAGTTCATATTGATAACTACTGATTGTTACTTTTTCCATATTTGAAATAGAGATGACTGGCGGTGTAACCTTTCCTGTGTCATCCACAGTTCTCACTCCACTCCGTTGTTTAGCTTTAGGAAGCTATGAGACAAAGTGGTGAAACCTTAAACCTGATTAGCTAAAGCCTT